GTGACTTGCCCAGAGCCACCCAGCTAGTAAGTGTTATGTGTCTGAGGCTGGATTTGAACTCAGGTCCTCCCAACTCCAGGGCCGGTGCTCTATCCACTGCGCCACCTAGCGGCCCCAGGTGCAAGTCTTAATCACTTGTCAGAGCAAGGGGTGCCAGGCTGTTCCTCTCTCCCCTTACGATTGTTTTGATCATGCCATGGCTACAAGAGAGGATTCATGACAAGGTGTCTATGAGATTAAACAAAAACAGACAAGCAAATGAATGAATAAAAACAAACCATTAGAAGCTTCCCCAAATCTCTGGCAATGGTCCAGGGATGGACGGGTGGGAAACACTTCAGTAGTAAGCTTGCCTGGGCTCAGTGATAAAACTCCTGATACAGTGACATGTTGCAGAAAATAATATTAAGTAACAGATAACAGGAAAATGCCTCAGAGCAGGATAGGCACTTTATTACATACAAATAAGTTTTAGAAAAATGAAAATTAGCTCCATCTGCCAGCTGATAGATTGAAGGGCATTGACATGAAACAGGTTCTTTTCACAAATCACACTCTAACATAGTTTTGCTTTGAGATCGAATACCTTTTTTCCATTCTGGATGCTAGGCCCACGGAAGGGCCGCAACACTGACTTACACGAATTCATTTCTAGCACATGGGAGTTATGTGAAGTCAGTACACAGTTTGAAGGACCTCCTAGCCTCCCAGATTCTGTCCCTCCCTGTCAGAGGGGGAACTCATGGGATCAGCAAAGAGAGAGAAAAGAGCAGAAGAAGAAGAAGGTGCTTTCAGATCTGGGTGCGTTTTTACACAATTTCCCCCAAATCTTCATTTCCAATCAAAACTCCACTAGGAAATTCAATCAAAGTAGCCCCATCATAACTTGTTCTCCTCATAACTTGGAAATCTGTGGTCCCAAAGAAAACGTCTCCTGGCTTCTAGAATCTCTTCTACATCCAATGCAACAGGATCTAGAGATTGGGAGAGACCTCCTGGGGGGGCATATATTTTTGTAGGCAATTGGGGTTAAGTGACTTGCCCAGGGTCACACAGCTAGTGTCAAGTGTTTAGTCTGAGGTCAGATTTGAACTCAGGTCCTCCTGACTTCAGGGCCGGTGCTCTATCCACTGCGCCACCTAGCTGCCCTGGGGGCGTATTTTTGCACTACATTTTCCCTATTTTTTTTTTCCTTTTTCCTTCTTGGCTGGCCAGTTCAAGAAGAAAGAGGAAAAAACCCTCTGCTCAAAGCATCCAATCAGATAATTCAGGAAAAATTTATTAATGAAAAATTCCCATTGCTTTTTTTTTAAGTGACTCTAAATTAATCAGGGACTGTTCCCTCTTCTTCCTGAGCAGGTCTAGGCATTAACATGCACAAAAATAAATAGATAAACCAGCAAACAGCCAGATTATGAAGCTACACATGGAGACATTCCTTTTTTGTTTTTAAATTTGTAGTGGGGGGATCAGATTAATTAAAAAAAATACTTATCTTAAAATAGAAATAAGAAACTATCAAAACCCCAAAAAGCCCTTGGGACAAAAGACAACATTTTTGACATTTCCTCAGTCTAAAGAGTGAACAAACTCTCCCTTTTGCTCCACGTATGGCTGGGGAGAGATGGTTCAGGAGCATCTTATGGTGAATAAGCACCCACATTGAGCCCTTGTCAAGGCAGTAAGTTAGGTAGAAATAACGGCTATACGCTGATGAGACTGCTAACCTAGACCTGCCCTGGCCCCAGGTGCGTTAGCAGGGAAAACATAGCAATTCTGACGGACTGATTTTTAATGACCCAGACCACTTGCCTAGAGGGCACCAATCTGTCAGTTCGGGTGTTAAACATCAGGCTTCTGTGCCAGGCTACCTGGGTTATGGAAATATTGGCAGCTGGGTGGTGCTGCCTATAGAGTCCTGGAATTGGAGTGAGCAAGACCTGAGTTCCAATCTGACCTCAGACATTTACTAGCTGCCTGATTCTGGACAAGTCACTTCACCCTATTTGCCTCAGTTTCCTCATCTGTAAAATGAGCTGGAGAAGGAAATGGCAAACCACTCCGGTAGCTTTGCCGAGAAAGTTCCAAATGGGGTCACATACAACCCTGGGAAGCCTACTCTATTATTATCCCTATTTTATAGATAAAGCAACTGAGGCAAACAGAGATTAGGCATCTGCTTCCCAGGGTTATTTTAAGGGTCACATGAGATAATATGGGTAAAGCATTTTGCAAAGCTTATGTAAATGCGTGCAGATAGAGCTAGCTTCTTGGAGAGCAGCCTCCAAGGTGATCAGCTATAGCCTAGATTTCATATATTCAGCCTCATCAGTCCTCTGAAGTTTTAGGCTAAGTTCAGGATGACAAGGGCTGCTTCCTACCTTGTTCTCTGGCGGGAAAGGGCCTTATTATGACTGCTCCCCTTCTCAAGAAACTTCAGGGGCTGGATTCAGAATCACCCACTAGGCAGAGAGAGACCCCCGCCAAAAATGGATAAGCTGTTTAGAAAGTGTGTGTGGGGGGGGTTTGGAGGGCAGGACGGGTCCTTCAGGCTAATTCTCGCTGGTCCTTCTGGGTGCCCACTAACGCTCTCCCCTACGGTCACTGAGAGTCATCTGCCTGAAAGTGACATCTTTAAGGATCGCGTGCAGGGACAAGTTTGGATGAAAGCCACAATGGTGAAAATGTCAGCCGGAAGCCAGGGGAGAGGATCGTGGGAGGCTGAGAAAGCTGACCCTGCTCCAGGCTCTGTCTCCTTCGGGGCATTTAAAAACAAAAACAAAACCTCAGCCCTACCCCGAGATTCCTGGGATAGTTGCCTCCAGCAACATCCTCTTCACTTCTGAAGCTCCAGTCCTACCTATAATTCAGCAAAGGAAGCCAGGAGCTAATGGCCTGAAGCCAGAACATGGGGCAGGTGTGCTTCAGGTCACAATGACACTTCCCAGTGTGGGGAAGGGGATGCAAAGATGCAGATTTCAATTTAACATCAGAAAAAAAAAATCCTAACAATTAGAGCTGCCCACAGGTAGAATGAACTGCCTCGGGAGGTAGTGAGCTCCCCATCATTGGACGTCTTCAAGCAGAGGCTGGCTGACCTTGTCAGGGGTTCTTGTTCAGGGAGCCTCTAAGGTCCCTTCCAACTGTAAAATCCAATGATTCCTCAAGGAAGATCCAAGATTCTGATCTATGGGATGGGATTGAGGCAAGGAGTGAGGCTGGCCTCCCTCCTCTCCAAGAGACAGAAAGTGGCAGCTTGAACTGGTGAAAGGAGCATCCTCATCTGGGAGTTCCCTACGTCACTAAAAGCTCAGGTCCAGCCCCCATTTGCCTTCATACCCTGGTAGAACGTAAGCTCACTGAAGGCAAAGGATGGTCTTCATTTTTGTCTTTGTAGTCATGCCTAGCACATAGTAGGCTCTTATTTTAAAATCTGTTACAAAATTTATATACAAAAATGTTTTCTTTTTGCACATTTGATGTTAGAACATGTAAGTAAATGTATGTACAGGAACACATGTAAAATGACACACATGTGTGTAATGTACCAAGAGAAGCTCAGAGCAGGGGAGGGGATGCTGGGTCCAGCATTGGAGGAGCTGGCTTTGCCGACTCTCTGAGCCAATTCTTAGCCATGTGACCTTGGGAAATCTCTTCACCTCTCTCTGGGCCTCAGTGTTCCCGTCTCTGAAACAAGGGGGTCAGACTCAGTGACTCCTCCGCCCCCCTGCCCCCTATGTGGGTCCTGTGTGGTCCAGGCCATGGCACGGGAGCCAGGCTGTGAATGTGGGCACCCTGCCGCCCGCCTCCCGCCTCCCTGCCTCCCACATCCTCCTCGGGGCCATCCGCTGGGAGAGAAGGGTCTGAGTGTCAGAGCCGATCACTGGTTCCTAATCAGGGTTGCAGCTGGGAGGGGAGGCAAGAGCAGCCATTGCCTCCTTTGGGAACAGGACCCGACAGGCCCCTTGGCACCAATCCCCAGCAAGAGTGCGTGCACACACACACACATACACACACACAGAGGCGCGCACACACACACACACACACACACACGCCCACACATACGATCACACACACATGATCACACATGTACATGCCTATATACAGACACACACATGCACACATGACCACGCATGCAGCACATCATGTCCACATGCACACCTGGCCACAATACAGTACCTGTCCACAGCACATGTGACCACACATGTACACACACACACACACACACGTGCACTGGCCTGGAGCTGCTGGGCAGAGGCATGGGAGCACTGGGGCCCAGAGAGGTGGGGACAGCCTCTGAAGGTCACTCGGCCCGTGCTAGTCACATCCTTCTTCCCTCTGATGTCCCAGCCCCAGGGCTGCTGCTCAGGTATCCTCTCTCTGCGGCTTCTGCCCAGCCAGGCAGCTAAGGATGCTGGCCATCTGGGGTGCTCTGAAAGGGCTGACTGACCCACTCAGCCCCTGAGGAACTTGTATTTCTCTGCTCCTGTTCCATCTCCCCAGCATCTTACAGAGGGGGAAACTGAGGTCCAGAGAAGTTGTGACTTGCTCAAGGCCACACAGCCGGGAAGTGGTGGAGCCAGGAATCCACCTCAGGCCTTTGGCCAGGGAGGACTCTCCCCAGTGACCTGGGCTTCCATCAGCCCAGGCTAAGCTTGGAGGAATAGCTGCAAATCTTCTCACAGAGCCAGACTCCAACCTTGTAGGAGAACCATGAAAAAGGCAGTGTGGGACAATGGGACCTGGAGTCAAAGGATCTGGGTTCAAACCACAGATAACCTTTTACTACCTATGTGACACTGGACCTGTCCCTCGCCTTCTCTGAGCCTCCATTTGCCCTCAGTGAGATGAGGGCATCAGACTGGACTTTCGAGGTCCCTTCTGGCTCTAAACCTGTAATTCAGGGATGAACTGAATGCAAGGGCGAGGAAGGAGAGCCCAGCGCAGGCAGGGCTGGGCAGGGGCAGGGCACCTCATCACGCCTGTTTCCTCTTCCAAAGGACTCTGACTGACCTTTTGAAACAGCCCGGGCAGAGCCCCTCGGCCCCACTGCCCCCACCCCTGGGGAGCAGTGCGCAGCTGCAGATGGGAGACAGCCTGCCTCGGGGCTCCCCCCGAAATAGCACAGGTGAGTGGGGAAGGAAAGGGAAGGGGGGCACAGAAAGGGGGCAGCCCAGCTGGGCTGTCCCTCCCTTGAGCTCAGAGGACGTGCCAAGGGATGGTCTGTTGAAGGAGGAATGCTGACCCAGCACTTCCCAGCTCACATGGGCACGGGAGGTCCTGAAGGGGTTCATTCAGAGCTGGACATTAGGGCTGATTGGAAAGGCAGAAAATGGTCGTTCTTGGAATCTGTTCCCTGCCAGACGCTTCTGTCTCCTTCCCGCTAGCCCCCAGTATCTCACCCAGGGCTGCTCCCTTGGGTCAGAGGACCTGAGTGTCAGATCCACTTGGGCAAGTCACTCTGGGCCTCAGTTTCCTCGACTGGAAAACGAGCAGGTTGAGTCAGCTGGCCTCTGACGCCCCTTTCACCTGTCGATGTATTGACCTAATCTCTGCTGACCTCCGGGCTCACCCCTCCGGCTGCCTAATGAAATCTCGAATGGGAAGACCCAGGGGCAGCTGAAATGCAGGCTGTCCAAAGCACACTCTTTCTCTTTAGACCCTCCCCCTCTCCTCCCTTCCCTATTACTGTCGAGGGCACTGCCTCCTCCAGTCCCCCAGGCTCACAGCCGAGGAGTCACCCCAAGGCCTGTCGATTGGACCTTCTCAGAATCTCTCCACAGATGCTCCCTCCTCTCCCTCGACACAGCCCTCACCCTGCGGCAGGCCCATCACCTCACGGCCTGGACCATTGCAAGAGCTGCTGGGGGACCTGCCGGCCTCAACTCTCTCCCCCACCCAGCCCAAGCGATTTTCCCGCAGCCCGGGTCTGACCACATCACCAGCCCTACTCAATAAAGTCCAGGGGCTCCTTGTGGCCTCCAAAATGCCGTTTGTGGTTCAAAACCCTTCCTCCCTTCCCAGTCTTGTTACAACTCACTCCCCTACACTTACTCTTCAGCCAGGTGCCCCTGACCTCCTGGCTGTCCTGCCGACAAGACCCTCCATCTCCTGGCTCAGGGCATTCTCCCCGGCTGCCCCCCAAGCCTGGGTCGCTCTTGTCCTCTCTGATCCCGGCTGCCCCACAAACCTGGGTCGCTCTTGTCCTCTCTGATCCCGGCTGCCCCCCAAGCTGGGACGCTCTCGCTCCACTCCTGCCCAAGCCTGGGTCGCTCTTGTCCTCTCCACTCCTGGCTTCCACAGTCTCCTTCGAGACTCAGCAGCCCCCACCTTCCCCAAGAGGCCTTTCCAAATCGTTTCCTCTGCTCTCCCCTTCCCCATCCCCTAACGTCTTTCCTCTGAGATTGCCTTCCCCCGCTCTCTCTGTCTTGCATATAAAGCTGTTTGACTACTCCCCCATTAGAATGTGAGCTCCTTGGGGGCAGGAACCATCTTGTTATCTGTCTTTGCATCCTCGGCACAGTGACTCATACACGATTGCCCGTAAGAAATGCTAACTGACTGACCCACTTGTACCCCTGGGGGTGAGGGCCCGCCGAGAAATGTGATGAGGACCAGGACCTGCCTGAGGGAAGAGGCTGGGAAGGGAAAGAGCCCCATGCCAACCCATTCACCCCCCCCCTTTCCTCTTCTGCCCTCTGCAGACAAAAAGCACTTGAACCACGCCTCTCTGGGGACTCCCATGCCGCCCTCCCTGGGGCTTGGCCCTTCCCACGGACCCCGGCTGCACCCGGGCAGCAGCGTGGCCCTGCAGCCCGACTACATCAAGCACGCCACCCCGAAGGCCGCCGGTGAGTGGCCCTGCCCCTGCCAGGAGAGCTGACCCCTGGCCTGCCCCCTTCCCATCCCACAAGGTAATGAGGACCTCCGTCCTGGCCGAGCAGAGTCTTAGATAACCTGACTCAGGATTCTCAAGTTCCCTGCCCCAACGAAGCAACGTCTTGGTTACCCTAACCTGGGGTTCTAGAGCTCTGTCCTAACCACCCCTTTCTGGGCTACCTTCGCCTTCCCAACAATTTTCTCATTCTCTGCCCAGGCCAGACCCTCTGCCTATGGGCACTGCAGGTTCCTAAGTTAATTCTTCAAATGCATTTGGCTCAGCCTTCCTCACTTACCAGTCCTGTGTCTATCCCCTCCTCACCTCCATCCACAAGGCCCAGCCAGACCTAGCTTCACCCTCCTTCACCCTCCTACCCTAGGTTGCTCACTGCCCCCTGACCTAGATTTCTTTCCCCCACCCCCACTCCTACAGAAAGTACCTCTGGAGAATTCTACAAACGCTTCCCGTTGGTGGATGTGCCTGTGCCCAGCACCGTGTCCCTCCCACCCCGGGTCCCCAGGCACCACAAGGATCTGCCCCTGCTGCTGGACGGCTGCCCCTGGGCCACGCCAGGTCCCAGGGCCAAAGGGCTAAGAAGTGGTACTCGGCCATCTGCCTTGGGGCCGAGCCCAGGGCCCCCCAGCTGCCCAGGCTGGGCCACTTCTCGGGTGCCTCCTAGGACCCCCCGTGGGTCCCGGACCCAGCCCTCCCCAGCTCCACGGCGGGCTCCAGGCCATGTGCCCAAGCGTCAGTTCAGTTCAGAGCAGCTGAGTGAGGTCTTCAGTCACCAGCCTACTGGGGGGCCCCGCCATCTGACCACCAATAGCAAGGCTGAGGTCACAGTGTGAGGCCTCCCACTCCAGCTCCTCCTGGTGAGGGGCCTGCAGAAGCAGGGCTGGTGGCTGGAGAGCCCAGGCCCGGATCTCCCGGGAGTGACCGACCTGACGTCCTCAGCCCTTAGGGCCCGTCTGGGTCCCTGCACTGTCACAGATCTGGAGTCTAGGGAACTGGATTCTAGGCCTGACCGCAGCTTCTTGTCTATAGGACCCTGGGCAAGATCATTCCCCTCCGGGCCTGGGTCCTTCCCCTGGAGAATGAGGGGCTGGTCCAGGGAACGTTCCCTAGAGCTGCCTGGCTGCCTTCTGTCTCTGAGCCATCCCCAGGGCATGTCCCCTCCCCCAGCCCAAGGCCAGACACTCCCTGGTTGGCTGGGGGGTCACCGAGCTCTGGCCTGTTTCTCTACTTCAGTATCAAAGACTGCTGCCCTCGGTGGGATTTGGAGCCTGCCTGGCTCACAGGTCCCTTCTGTCCAAAGGCCCTCTCGACCTTGGGCCTAAGGGCAGGAGTGGGGAGGAAGAATGGGGCTGGGGGCAAGAAGATGGAGGAAAGGGGGCGGTGGAGAGCAGGAAGCTGCATCTATCTGGGGTCCTTTGTAAATAAATCCAGCCTCCCCCCCTCAATAAACATGGCTTCCCCAGGAGAGGAGACAGGCTCTTAGCTTATTATGATTGTCTTAGAGTTTTCCTTCCAAGTTTCCCCCAGATGGGAATCTCCCTGCAGAGAACAGCCCTGCCCCTGGCCTAGCCCCGTACTTCATGATGGCAATGGTGGGCTGGGCCAAGGCCAGGGGCTCACCCAGAGAAAGGAGAGAGGGTGCTGCAGCCCCCGGGGCCAAAGCACCAGCCTGCCTTCCCCCAGTAACTACACAGAGAAGAAAAGCCTGCGTTCGAATCCTCATTCTGCTCCTTTCCATGTGACCTTGAGTCTGACTCTCTCTCTCTCTCTCTCTCTCTCTCTCTCTCTCTCTCTCTCTCTCTCTCTCTCTCTCTCTCTGTCTCTGTCTCTCTGTCTCTCTCTCTCTCTGTCTCTGTCTCTCTTCTCTCTCTCTCTCTCTCTCTCTTCTCTCTCTCTTCCTCTCTGTCTCTGTCTCTCTGTCTCTGTCTCTCTCTGTCTCTCTCTTTCTCTCTCTCCCTCTCTTCTCTCCCTCTCCTCTCTCTCCTCTGTCTCTCTCTCCCTCTCTCTTCTCTCTCTCTCTTCCTCTCTCTGTCTCTCTTTCTCTGTCTCTCTCTCTTTCTCTCTTTTCCTCTCTCTGTCTCTGTCTCTCTCTCTCCTCTCTCTCTCTCCCTCTCTCTTCTCTCTCTCTTCCTCTCTCTCTCTCTGTCTCTGTCTCTCTCTGTCTCTGTCTCTCTTTTCCTCTCTCTCTTCCTCTCTGTCTCTCTCTCTTCCTCTCTGTCTCTCTCTCTGTCTCTCTGTCTCTGTCTCTCTCTGTCTCTGTCTCTCTCTCTCTCTGTCTCTCTTTTCCTCTCTATCTCTCTGTCTCTCTGTCTCTCTGTCTCTCTCCCTCTCTCTCTCTCTCCCTCTCCCTCTCTTTTTCTCTCTATCTCCATTCTGCCCCACCCTGCCAGTTTCTCCCCCTCAATCACTAACCTGATACCCCTTTAGGCCTACTGTGGGGCACTGAGGTGAAGTCATCAAGGTCCGTGCCCTCAGGGAGCTTATAGTTTTATTGAAGAGACAAGAGTCACCCCTGAAAAGTGTTGTGGGAGCAGTCTGTGATCAGAGCAGGGCTGAGGAGCTGTGGGGGCAGTGAGGGTGGTGAGGGCTCAAACAAGGCAAAGATCCATTCCACCAGAGAAAGATCAGGGCCGACTCCCTAGAGGAGGTGATGTTTCAGCGTTCTTGAAGGACAGATAAGAACACCAAAAGGTGTTTGGACGGGAGGGACAGTGAGTGACCCGGTCTGCCTAGGGCTAGTTTAGAAGGCCTGGAATGCCAGGCAAGTAACGAGGCTGCTGTCATCTTAGCACCATTGCCTGCATGGCCCCTGAGGCCTCCTCCTCCCCGCAGCCCTGAGGAAGGTTACCTCCCTCTCCATTGCTTACCTCTTTCCGTGTTCTCTTGGCAGCAGGACGGTTTGGCACGGGGCCCCAGCCCCTCTTGGGCTCCAGGCCAACGAGGCCCTGCAGCCACCGGGTCCATCTGCTTGGCTGACAGCTGGTGCCCACAGGAGCAGGCAGCGCCCGAGCAACTGTGGGGCCTCTCCCCTTCCCATCCAAGGAAAGAGTGGGAGGGGGATGGAGGGGTGGGAGTGGCCTCCCTGAACCCCAGGAAAGTAGCAAAACGGAAGGAAACACACATCTGAGCTCATGTGCATGTGCCCGAGTGTGCCGAGACAGGGACAAGGCAGGATTCCAGACAATTTGCCAAGAGGATACCCAGCCCCCCCAACATGCCCAAGAAGTACAGCCTGGATCATGGGGTTGGGGTCTCCCAGAGAACTGGGAGAGACCTAGAACATAGACTGTCAGAACAGGGAGAAGCCTTAGAACATTAAATGTTGGATCGAGAACATAGAATGTCAGTGCTGGGAGGGCCTAAAGAACATACAGTGTCAGAGCTGGGAGGGACCTTAGAACATAGAAATGTTGGAGCTGAGGAGAACCTTAAATGAGGGGAATATTAGAACAACAAAGACTCTGAGAACGTGGAATTTTAGTGCTTGGAGGGCCTCTAGAACAGGGAATGTCAGACCAGGGAGGAGGCCTCAGAACAGGGAATGTCAGGGCTGGGAAGGGCCTTAGAACAGGGAATGTCAGAGCTGGGAGGGGGCCTCTAGAACAGGGAATGTCAGACCAGGGAGGAGGCCTTAGAATAGGGAATGTCAGGGCTGGGAGGGGCTTTAGAACAGGGAATGTCAGAGCTGGGAGGGGCCTGAGAACAGGGAATGTCAGGGCTGGGAGGGGCTTTAGAACATAGAATGCTGGGAGGGCCCTTAGAACACCAAATGTCAGAGCTTTCAGCTCTGACCTTGGAACCAGGAGGAAGCTGAGGGAATCTTGCCAAGCTCCCTTCTTTCAAAGAGAAGGCAGCAACAGCCAGAGAAGGGTCTTGCCTGCTCTGGAAGGTCATGGGCCATCTACTCCTGGGATGATGTGATAGCTGGCTGGGAGACACATTTAAAGGGTGATGTTGAGCTAATTTTCTATTGTGGGGCACTGACCATGCTGGGAAGGGCTCTGAAAGCCAGGTTTTGTGGGAACCTGTTGAAGGAATCACAGATACTGAGGTAGGTTAACAGGGGCCGAGAATACTGTCTCCTGCCTCCCAATCTGTGCTCTGCCTTCATGAATGGTTAATGGGGGAAATTCAAGCATGTGACAGACTACTGGTTACCCCCAAGGGGGGAGGGGGTGGCAGGTGGCCTGCAGCGGAGGGAAAGGTCATGGGCAGGCCCAGGGTCTGAGGAATTAGAGAGAGGCAGACAGGGCAGTACCAGGCTGCTTCTCTGAGCTGTAGGGAGCTTCCCAGGTTGGCCTCATGGGACCCCAGGCTGACCTCAGGGCCCGGACCCCCTGCTGCCTCAGCTTCCCCCACCCCTAGCAGCTGGGGTTTAGCTCTGGAGAGCTGGGGGCGGGCAGGCTGACTCATCCACACGCCAAGGACAAGGAGCTGCTCCAGCAAGAATAATGAGCGTGTCGCCCACCCCCAGGGCCCCCCGCCTACCCCTCGTCACCCTCCTGACGCAGGAGCCCAGCATGGGTGACGGTGATGGCGGCTGGGCAGGAAAGAACTTGGCGAGCTGGCCCCGGTCCAGGGGAAAATGACAAGGACGGGGAAGGGCCCGGAACCGTGCCCCACAGTCAGCCAGGAGAAGGGCAGGGCGGTTCAGCAGGGAGGACTCTTGGGAGCAGGAGAGCTGTCATCAAGCACTGGAAGGGCCTTCAGTGGAAGAGGGATTGGCCTGGGCCCTGGCCCGCTGCAGAACCACAAGTCAAGGGGGGAAGTTACGGGCAGATTTCAGGATTCAGCATTTATTAAGCACCTGCTGCGTGCAGGGTCCCAACTCAGGTTCTGAGAGAGATAGGGATGAAATACAGGCCAGTTCCTGTCTTGGAGGCTGGACTCCATGGCCACATCACGGGTTCTATGTGCTCTGAGACAGAAGGCAATGGCCAGCCACCCCAGCACATACATATCCCCACTTTCACCCACGTAGACTCATGGAGCATTGGAGCCAGGACAGAACTTAGATATTATCTAATCCAACCACTTTGCTTTATAGATGGGGAAACTGAGGTGGGACAGAGGCACAAGCTGGGCTCTAGAGGTGGAGGACTCAGGTTCAAATTCACCTCTGATGTTGTAAGATAGACTCTCCCTGACCTCAGTTTCCTCACCTGTAAGACAGAGCTAAGTTAGATGCCTCGAAGGTCCCTTTTACCTCTAGGGCTGTGGTCCTCTAGAGTAGATTCAGGAGACAAAATTCTAGCTCTGTCATTAATGCATTGGGGAAGCCACCCTCCTCTTTGGATCTGGCTTCTTCCTCTCTACAAGATGGGCCTGAACTGGAGGACCATGAAGCTCCCCCCCCAGCCCTGACATCCTCTGTGCCAAGCTCCCCCCCAGCCCTGACATCCTCTGTGCCAAGCTCCCCCCCAGCCCTGACATCCTCTGTGCTAAGCTCCCCCCCAGCCCTGACATCCTCTGTGCTAAGCTTCCCCCCAGCCCTGACATCCTCTGTTCTAAGCTCCCCCCCAGCCCTCACATTCTCTGTTCTAAGCTCTCCCAGCCCTGACATCCTCTGTTCTAAGCTCCCCCCAAGCCTTGACATTCTGTTCTAAGCTCCTCCCCAGCCTTGACATCTTCTGTTCTAAGTTCCCCCAAAGCCTTGACATTCTGTTCTAAGCTCCCTCCCAACCATGACATCCCCTCTTCTAAGCTCCCTCCCAGCCCTGACATCCATTGTTCTAAGCTCCCTCCCAGCCCTGACATCCCCCGTTCTAAGGCCTCTCCCAGCCCTGGCATCCCTTGTTCTAAGGCCTCTCCCAGCACTGACCTTCCCTGTTCTAAGCCCCTTCCCAGCTCTGACAGTCTGAATTCTAAGGTGTCTTCTAGTCCTGTGTTCTATGACTTAATGAAAGCACAGAAATGATTCTTGGATGACCACAGGCCCTGAAGGTGGGCTGGGATCTGAAACATTCGCCAGAAGGTTCAGGGACTGGATGGGGACTTTAATGTGTCTCCGGATAGTTGGGGATCTGCTGACCTCTGGTGGTCACTTATATCAATACACCAGAGTTAGGCTGGCGCTGGACATGTCAGCTCAGGTAGGCTTCAGGAGTCAATAGAACATTTATTAATCACCGGCTCCCTGCAGAACCCTGCAGGACCCTGCCCTCCCCACCCACAAGCACCCCTCTCTCAAGGGATTTCCAGTCTAGGAAGAGCCTGGGCGACAGGGGCTGTAGATTCCAGAGAATGGAGGAAGAGTCTACTCAGCCCCATCATACCTCACCCCTTCAAGTTAAGATGCTTTTGCACATGATGGAGCCCAAGACCCGGGCAAGACTGTGTGGGCATGAGAGCCCACTGGGAGGGAAATGGGAGGGAAACGCCCTCACCTCTCTTCTCTGCAAAATAAGACTTTGGGTCATTTTTACAGATGACGAAACTGAGGCCTCAGAAGGCATAATGACTTCTTGGGGGTCACACAGATAAGTGAGTACCAGAGGAGAGATCTGAATTCAGCTCCTCCAAGTCCAAGGCTTTCTCCACTGTGCCACACCAATCCATGGAACCTTAAGCACTGGAAGACAGGTCAGAGGCTAGCTCAAAATCATGACACCTTCCTGTTCCTTTCAGTGAACTCTTATCAAGCACCTACATTATAGGCTTTGGGGAGAGGTACAAAGTTTACAGAAAACAGGCTCCCAGCCCTCCTGAAGCTTGCAATCTAGTAAGGAGAAAGGTCAGTTGTTTTTCTAGTCATTTCTGACTTTTTGTGAGCCAAAGTGGGGTTGTCTTGGCAGAGATACCACAATGGTTTGCCATTTCCTTCTCCAGCTCATTTCACAGATGAGGAAACTGAGGCAGATGGGGTGAAGTGACTTGCCCAGGGTCACACAGCTAGGAAGTGTCTGGGGGCTAGATTTGAACGCAGGAAGATGAGTCTTCCTGACGCCAGGCCAGCAATCTGTGCACTATGGGTGCCTAGCTGCTCACTAACATAGACCTGCCTAATACACAATACAGAAGAATGGAGAAGTGGCCCCTGAGCTGGGATGCCAACCATGGAATGACGACTTGGCACTGGAGGGCCTGGGTTCGAATCCCACTTCTGACACCTACTATCTGTGTGCCCTTGAGCAAGCTGGACCAGGTGGTCTCTGCGGGCCGTCTAATTTTGAATCCTGGTTTCAACAGGCAAAGGTGAGGAAAGAGTGCCCCTCTCCCTATTCTGGGGACAGAGGGCACGGGGGCCATGCTAGCAGGTGAGAGGGGCCAGATCAACACCGGGGAACAGCTAATAGTCCTACTTAGCTGGAAGGACAGGAAGAGGAGTAGAGTAACATTAACAAAGAAAACACTAGCTCATGAAATTCGCATTTTATCCTCCAGGCAAGAGGAAGTCCCTGGAGGTTGTGATTTAGGAAGATGATTTTGGCAACCATGAGAGGGATGTACTGGAGAGGGGAGAGGCTGGAAGCAGGGGAGGCAATGAGGAGGCCGTTGTCACCACCATGGAAGAGAGAGTGAGGCTCACAAGGTCCGCCGCTCTGCTCCCCTGAAATCCAATTCGTGCTGGGGAGGACGGAAGATGGCACTAATTAAGTGCCTCCCATGTGCCAGACTCTGTGCTAAACACCGGGAATACAAAAAGAGGCAAAACACGGTCCCTGCCCGCTAATGTGTGGAGGGAATGCCGCATTTGGAGGCAGGGGACGCAGGTTCAAATACCAACTCGGCCACCTGGGTGACCGTCGAAAAACCACTCACCCTCTCTGGGACTCGATGTTCTTATCTGTAAAATGAAGGGGTTGGGCCAGACTTCCTCCCAAATCCGTGATTGTAGGCGTGATTCAGGTGGTTTGGGCCTGCGGGAGCCTGCTGGCTCCATTAAAAGAAAGGTGGAAGTTGGAAAAGAGGCCAGGAAAGTTGGGGGGGGCAGGGAACAGCTGGTGAAGCTAGAGTCTCGGAATTAGAAGGCAGCCTTCCAGACACTTGGACAAAGCCGTGCCTCTGCTCCCAGGGAGTCTTTTCTCCCCCCGCCCCCCTGCCCTCTTTTCAGCTTTGGGGGCTGCTCAACAGGCGGTTAGACATACAGGACTCCAACTTCGGGGAGCACTTGGGACTCCTAGACCATCTCCCGGGTGCACAATGGTTGACTGCTGTTCTGCAAGCCGTCATCTAGCTTTCACCTAACCCGGTCCTGCGACTCAGCTATCCACTGAAACGACCCATTGTAGTGTGGACAGTTTCAGTCTTCAGGAAGGTTTTCTTTATTCTGGCCTTTGAAACGTCCACCTGTTATTCCAGTACAGCGCGGTTTTGGGGGGATGGCAGAGGGTAGTATCAAGATGACCATCTCTCCTACTTGCCAACCCTTCAAATTTTAAACATCAACCTCTATCTCCTTCATCTCTTCCCTTTTCCAGGTTAAATAGGCAAATCCTTTGAGTGATGCTTTAAAAAAAAAAATCTTAACCAAAAGTCCTTGGGGCAGGTGCTAGCTGGTCAAGGTCCCTTCCCCAGTGGGGCTTGGGAGGGCCTCTCAAAGGGCCCTGCTGGGTTTCCACCTCCTTTGCCATAGCCTTCTAGAATCTGAGGTCAGAGTTCCAATCCAGCCAAATATACCAGCTTCTTTAGAATCCTCCCCTCCCCACACTCTTTTTTCTCATCTAAATCATTTGCATCACCAAGGGTTTTGCTAGTCTCAGGCCAAGGGAGCGCACCCAGTCCATTCTCTGACCTCTTTTGAAATTGGCCCTCCAGGAGCCTAGGGTGGAAACTAAGTCCAACCATCCATCTCCCTTTCCTATCTACAATGGTATGGTGAGCATTTTTTTAAGTCCTTTTTTTTTTTTAATCTTGGAGGCAATGGGGGGTAAGTGACTTGCCCAGGGTCACACAGCTAGTGCTTTGCGTCTGAGGCCAGATTTGAACTCGGGTCCTCCTGACTCCAGGGCCAGTCCTCTATCCCCTGTGCCACCTCGCTGCCCCCACTGGTAAGCATTTACGAAAGCCCCTACTTACCACATGCCAGACACAGCGCCAAGTATTGAACAGTACTAAGGATGAAGATGGTCCCTGCCTCGAAGATCTTACATTCAGTATTTGTCACAAACTCGAGCATATGTTTGGGCCACTTCCCTGCCCATGAATCTTCAGCGGCTCCTAACAAGCCCCTCAGGTAACAATCCAGCTCCCCAGAGCGGTGTCTGAAGGCCTCCACCGTCTTCTGGCTCCAGCCCATCCTCCCAGACGCATTCCATATTTAGTACCATCTCCTCTCTTCTAGCTACATGGGCTGGCCACCCAGGCCTCCAGGCCTCTGCCCCTGCTGTTCTGCCCTCCTCCATGGAAGGAATAATGCCTTCCCTGCTGCCTTAGAAGCCTTGGCTTCCTTCAGACCTACAGCAAACCTCCAGTAGAATGTAAGCTTGAACGTGGATTTTTAAAAATTTTGTTTTTTCTAAAAGACTCATGATGGAAAATGCGCACCACATCTAGAGGAAGAACTATGGAGTCCGAACGCAGATCAAAGCATTCTATTTGCTGTTCTTTTTCTGTTGTGTTTTGTTTCCTCTTTCTGGCGGTGCCTCCTGTTGGTTCTAATTCTTTCTTACAACATGACTCATGGGAAGACACGTTTAACAAGAATGTATATGTAGAGCCTGTACCAGACTGCGCCGCAGGAATGAGGAGCGAGGAGGAGAAAATTTAAAACTCAAGAACTTAGGGAAGGGCTTGTTGAAAACTAAAAATAGATTAATAAAAATGAGTAACAAAAGCCTGTTTCCGCATCACTTGACAGACCTAGCACAGTGACGTAACAGGACACTGACACTTGCTGGCTAACCTCAATCGTGTCATATTCCCAGTGTCACTGCTTCCTCCTGGTTTGTGAGTCGGGAGGACTCGAGTTCAAATCCAGACGCTGGGCCTCAGTTCTCTCTTCCGTAAAACGAGGGGGCTGGGCCCCTGGGCTCAGCAGTCCCTTCAAGCTCTCTGCCTGGGATGCCCTGGCAAACACTAGGTCCAGGACAGAGGCTCTCTTTGGAGCTGAGCTAGTCACCTGACTTGGAGAGAGGGATCCCGGGGATGCCTGCCCATGCCCCCCACATTCTCTCTCGAGGCACTCAACCCAATTAACTCCTGTCTTCAGAGCCCTCGCCACAGGGCCCCCTCCTCATCAAAACGTCCAGGTCCGGTCAGCTGGGAACCCCGCCTCGACCAGCCAATTCAAACCTGACGTGGGGAGGAGGGAGAAGACAAAGGACAGGACAGGACAAGGCCTGGCCCAAACCAGAGTCGGGTCACAGGAAGCAGACAGGTCCTCAGCCTCCCTCTCAGGCCAGGGAGCCGCAGCACAGAAAAGGCCAAAGGGCGAGAACTTTCCTGGGCTGGGGCTTCCAACTAAAAGAGGAAACGGGTTCAAACCGCAGCAGGAAGGTTTGGGTCAGACACAGAGAGAACTTAGGGCCCCTGCTGGGACCCGGCCACGGGCCCGGGACCAGCGGCTGGGACGCCTGCTGTGTGACCTCGGCAGTCACTCGACATCCTGGAACGAGAGGCTAGACCAGGCAATCTCGAGGCCTCCTGGCCCCAGATCTAGGGTCCTCAGGGAAAGCAGGACTCGGCCGGTATAGAGAAGGCACAGAATGAACACACACATACGCACACAGACACCCCCACATGGAGCGACCAGTGAGACCAAGCTGTGTTTATTGACTACCCCAGACAAGGTGCATGACTGAACATAAAAAAGGTCCCTCTGGGGAGCTGAGCCCCCAGCCTTCCTTGGGGGGGCTAAACAGCCCCCCAGTCCCAACACACAAACCTGCCCCCCCACCCCCACCCCAAACAAGGCACATATGTATATACATAAAACAAACAATGGGACTGGCGCTGAACCCATAAATAACACAGAATACAAACGGGTCCACAGACCCTCCACGTGGTCAGTGGGCTGGGGAGAAGCCTGAGACAGGAGAAAGAAAAATCAGCAAGGACATCCAGTGGCCTGGACGGCCCCTTGGACAGTACAAGGTTCCATTTCCTCTATCTCTGCCTACCGAGTAGCAGGCAGGCTCTGCTTGGACCCTCCACCAAAGTATCAAGGGCAATGAAGGCCAAGGGTCCCACACGAGACTGTCCCCTCCATGCTGGAAGGGCCAGACCCCACCACCTTCATTTAAGGGGCTGGCCCAATCCAATCTTCCCTGAGCCCCAGTCCTGTCTCCAGATGTTCCCAGGAGGTGGGGTTGGGCACTATTGCCCAGACCTCCTTCCCTCCCTTAAGCCCGAGGACACCCAATGGCCTCTAGGAAGTGGCTGCTGACTGACCCCCAGGTAACCAAGGCTCCAGGGAAGGTGTCTGGTCCATGGTGAAACCAAAGCTACAGGTTTGTGGTTCTCAAGGGCCTTTGGTCACTGCCAGCAGCCAGGAGACAAGGCCTCCCAAGCCACAGAACAGCCAGACCTTCCAGCATGACAGGGACAAACCTAGCCCAGAAGGGCCTTCTACCCAAAGGTTCCCTCTGACTGTGGGTGAAGATGGCCCGGTACTAGTGCCTGTTGGACATGTCTGTGATGCTCCATCTGAGGGTCCACAAACCCTGGCCTCCCCAACAAGGACAAAGCCAGCCCTGGGCCGCTGCCCTGACCTGAGAGAGGAAGAAAATAGCATCTTTGTCCCAAAAGGTGGGCCCTGCTGGGCACACTCCTCCTGGGCGTGGGGGGGAAGGTGGAGGGGCTTTGAGAGCAGCCTCCTTCCGGCCCATTCTAGAGCCAAGAGGACTGGGGCGGGGGGGCCCAGGCCCAGGGAGGCAGCTGGGCACACACCAGGGCCCAGTCACAGTCACTGAAGAATTTGGGCTAAGAACAGAATAAGGACCAGGGCACCCCAGGAGTGGAAATGAGACCCCCGGCCCCACCGTGCAGATGGTTCCACTGATGGTGCCACGGGGCCATCCTACTACGCTCCAAGGTGCCCTCCCCCTTCAGCATCCACTCGGACCCTGATCGCCCTGCTAAGTGGAGAGAGCCCAGAAGAAAGAGACAGAGAGGGAAGGAGGAAGACAATTAAGGAGGATACCATTTTTTTTATAGAAAATTAAAAAAAGACGATTTTATTTCATGTTTGCCCTGAGGACTGCCTCCCCTTCCCCCTCACCCCCACTTCTGTGACTCCCCAGGAGCTGGGCTCTGGACTACCACACTCACCCCCCACAGCTATCACTTCTAATACGGGACAAACAACTAACAGCTACGTCAGAGACAGGAGAGGAGACAGAGCGAGAGAAAGAGGGGGCTACCGCACCCCGAACGGCTCAGCAAACCAAACACACAAAGCCAGAGTAAAAACCGTCGTGTTTACAAAACACGCACTTTGACAGGCGCCCAAAGCTGCCCTGGCCCGGCATGGATGGACCGAGGGATGCCTGGAGGGCCGCTGCCTGTGCCTGCGCACCCCCTTGCCCTGCGGCTTGCCTGCTGCCCCCCGGTCTCTCCTCCAGGCCCCCACCTGGGCACCAGACCACCAGAATCTCCTTCCTCAATGAAAGATGAAACTCTCCAAGTTTCCTGGGTGGTCCCAGACCAAAGGAGCCCAGGGGAGGGATGGCTGGGCAAAGACTGGCAGCGGAGGTGGCAATGACCAGCAGCCCACGAGCCCCAAGCCCCTGGCCTAGACGGTGTAAGCAGGGGTTCAGGACAGGACAGGAGAGGGTCTGAGTGGGGGAGGGGGGCAGAGCTGGGTTAGGAGGCCGCGATGGCAGTACCCCCGCTCAGCTTGACGAGCATCTGCTGGCAGTCGCTGCAGGAACGTTTGTCTCCGACTTTCTCAAGGGTGCGGGCAGCTTCCGCCAGCAGCACCGCCCGCTGGCCCGGGGACGACAGAAAGGACAAAGGCAGGTGGCGGCAGGCCAGCAGGATGGCCGTGGCCCGTTCCCGCTGCCCGGGCAGGGCATCCGCCTCTCCTGCGGGAAGGGACCCTGGGTCAGCCTCAGGATCTGACACCCATCCCTCCCTGCCAGGAACTCCCAGGGGCTGCCCTCCTCCCCCCAGGTGGGACCTTCCCCACGCTGGGAGGGCCGAGGCTGCCTCACCGTGCTTGGTGGTCCGGGCTGTGCGGCGCCGCAGGCTGTGCTCCAACAGCTGGTGGGTGCGGGTGGGGCTGGCGCCAGCCATCAGGCGCACCGTGGCCTCATGCAGGAACACCTGGGGGCAGGAGGGGGCACACCTAAGCCTGGGCAAGGACATGTCCAGGGCCTTCCAATTCACTCTCCAGCATCTCCCCCACCCCACCCCAAGGGGCCTGTGTGGAGCAGGCCAAAGGTCATTCAGCAACGGGAGCCCAGAGTAAGGGAGGGAACAGTATCTGTCGAATGAAAAGCTGTACTGGCCTTCCTGCTGCCCTCCCAGGACCCCGGGGGTGCCAACGCAGGGACTCGTGGTCACTCACAAAGCCCACGCCCTGCCGGGCTCCCTTTCCTGCTCTGCCCCCTCGGAGCTCTGCTGGGAATGCCCACTGAGCCGGCCTGCCCCACTGTGTATGGCTTGGGTGCGATTACTGATGTGGCTGAAGGGGCTGGCATTTACAAGTCCACGTTTACGAGTCATATGAGGACCATACAACGATCCCGGAGCAAAGGCCTGGGCTCCTGGGCTCAGACTGGTGCTCAGTCTGCAGATGCTTCCTCACAGGGGGCACAGACATCGCCAAACTGGTTTTACAGATGGGGAAACTGAGGCTATGCAGTGAAGTGGCTTGCCCTGGACCCACAGCTGGCAGGTGGCACAGTGAGGATTCACAGCTGGGGCTGGTTCTCTGCACTACAGCCCTTCCTTCTCCTGTACCCCAGGGAGCTCATGCTGTGCTGGGCACCCTCTTAACACGTGGTCACTACTGCGGTAATGATCTGCCAGGCCACCCTTTCCCTCCTAAGGTGGCCACGCCAGACCCCCAGACTCGGGCCCACTTGGCCCGGGGGAAGGGAGGAGGGCCCCTGGTCCTTACTTTTCGATAGGCCGGCCGGAAACTGTGTGCCAGCCTGCGCAGGCTGCCCAGATCCCTCTGGAAGCCCGCGAGCTCGGGGGCTGAGGCATGGCAGGTCTCTCCCAGGGCTGGGCTGGAGCCTGCCTGCTTCTGCCACAGGGTGGTCCGGAGGGACAGCAGCAGGTCACAGGTCAGCAGCTGCACCACCTGCAGGGGGCCAGAGCAAACAGGTGGGAAAAGCGGTGAGCAGCCCGGCCCAGACTGAAGTGCCCCAGAACCCAGGAAGCAGCTTGGGAGGGGAGGGGACAGAGGCCGACCATGCAGCACCCTCGTGCCCGCCCAGGAGTTTTGGGGGCTCCTTCCAGCAGGGGGCCTGGCCCTGGGGATGCTCCTCTCCACGGGAGCCTGGTCAGACCAGACAACCAACCAGTCTACGCCAGCACCAGCAGCAAACAGACTGGTGCTGGCATAGACAGAGGACTGGCCGGTGAGCCGGGAAGGGAGGGCGGGAGGCAGCAGGGCCTGGGCTCTACAGCCGTCCTCCTCCTCTTCCTCCTTCGTGGATAGATGGCCACAGCTGCTACTTGCCAACCTGACCAACAGCTTCTGTGCAGACCTCTCCCCACACAAGGACACCCCGTTCTGCACCCGGCACATCCAGGTCCGGCAGATGGAGGCTCTGCAGCCCTAGGTGCGGCACGGGGCAGCCTCCATATCCTGGTGTGTGTGTGTGGGGGTGGTAATGGGAGGCCAGGCAGGTTGGCTCTGGGCTATCTTGGGGTGTCCCTACAGAGGGAGGCTGTCATGCCTCACCCAGGTGGGTACTCTGCTATGGAACCATGCCCCATTCTCAAGTTTTCCCTTTGCTTGGCCCCTGGCCCCAGCAGCAGGCTCAGGTCCAACCCTTCTGGGCCTCTGCCAGCTCCCCCAAAACACCGCCTCACCAGGGCTGGCCTGTGAGAGCTCAGGACAGGAAGCGGGGGTGGTGGCGGTGGAGGCAGAGGCGGCGGCGGCGGCGGCAGCAGCGCGGGCCTCTGGGATGCACTGTGGGAACATTGCACGGCCCCGACACGACGTGCAATGCAACTACAATGCACCACAGCCGCTCGCAGGGGAACTCTGCCCGGGCGGGCAGGGCCCAGCGTGCCCCCCGAGTCTCCCTGCTGGGACTGAGGAGCGGGGGAGGGGCCGGCCATGCTGGGGAGGAGGTGGGGCACAAGGCCGGGCTTCTCCCGGAGCTTTCCCACCTCGCCCTCCCTCCCGCTGGCAGCGCCGGAACCTTACGTGGGTGAGTCCCGCATCGGAGGCCGTGCTGCTGACGTTGAGGCTGCCCCACAGGTGGCCGCTGGCCCTCTCGCAGTGACCAAAGGAACTCTGCTGCGCCTCGGCCTTCCCCGAGAGCGAGGCGTGCATGGCCCGGCAGACGTAGAAGACGGCCTTCACCAGGGAGCTCCTGGGAGGGAGGCAGGAGACAAAGGGGGGCTTCCTCTGAGCCTCCTCAGGGGTTCACCTCCCTCCCCCACCCCTCCCAGCAAAGACAAACCACAAAGGAGCCGCTGACGAACACTACCCAGTCAACAGGACAGGCACAGGTCCAACACCCTCGGCCCTCAGCTGAGCATCGTGGGTACTGGCCCCCACCCCTCAAGTGTATACCGCTAAAGGTGGATGGTACACCCAGGACCCTGCCTCCATCTCTGCAAGCCACCCAGAAGAGATGGGCCGTGGAGCACAAAGCCAGGAGGGGATGATGCACTGAAACACCACCCCCCAACACATGACACCCCAAACTGAGACCACAGAGTCTCTATGGGCTTCGGTCCGAGGAGCTCCCTCCCTCCAGAGGCAGCCCCTGCTGGGAGGAAATTCTACCACGCTGAGCCCAACGCTGCCAAAATATAAGCATGGGCTCCGAGGGGAAAGTGCTGGTCTAGCAGGCCAGAGGCTGGGGCTTTGCCCCACGGATCTCACTGCCTGTGCCTCACCAGCTCAGTCATTTAACCAACAGGCGCTTGGCTTTCTCATAGGGACAGTGGGGGGCGCCATCACCTGCTGCAGCCTCAGAATCATGGCACCTTCAGAGACATCTGGTCGCCCCCGTGTGAACACAACGAGCGTCCTCCTTCTGTCCCAAGCGGACGTCCAACCTGGATCTGATGTCCTCCAAGTAAGAGCAGCGCCACCTCCCGGGGCTGCCCGCCCCATTCTGGAACGCTGGTGATATTGGAACGGTTTGTAGGTCAAGCGCTCTGCCCACCAGAAGCTGACGAGACCGCTGCTCAACGTCTAGCCCTCATCCCTTCTGGCCTGGCCGCCAAGGCTTGCAGAAGACCACGTCCTCTTCACCATGTCTGAAGGACAGCAACCACATCCCTTCAGGTCTTCACTTCAGTCAGGGCTCACGTGGCACCAGCCTGGGGTGGGCCGCTCTCCTCAGGATGCCTCTGGATGGTTGCGGTCCTTCCCTACTTCAGACATCCTGGAGGCTTCCGAGAGCATCTCCAAACAGCCTTAGACGGCATGGGCCTTCCTGCCTGCTGGAGACTCCACACCAACTCACAACCACCACAAACAGCCCTGGGTGGTTCTCACGTCGCCCGCTGGCTAGCCCCATCCTGTACTTCTGAAGTCTGAACTCCAAGGGAAGCCTTCACATTTACATCTCTTACATTTAACCTCATTCGGTCCAGCCCAAAGTCCAAGCCACCATGTCCTCCCAGGTTTGACAGCCGTCCAGCTCCACCCACCTCATCCAGCTGGCCAGGTATGTGCTCCTGGTCACTGAAGCAGTGGAGGCCACACAAGGCCAATACTGACCCAGCCTGACAACTCGGGGGCCCAAAGGCACCGGCTGAGCTGTGGCCCCACCCACGGCCCATCCCCCATCTGGGACGAGCAGCTCAGCAGCCTCCCTCTTAGACAGTCGAGATTCTTTCCAGGAACCAGAGTCAAGCTCATCGGGCCATTTCTGGTTTGCAGACTTTATTCTTTTCTGTGTTCTGAGCATCAGAAAAGCTGCCCTTCTTCACAGACTCAGAGCCGGAAGGGACCTCAGAGGTATCATGTCGAGTCACTGAGCATTCACCGGGCCCTGGTCTACACCCAGCACTTTACAGACGAGACGCCGCGTCCATCCCGAGTGACGACGTCACTGGCCCAGGGTCACAGAGGAGCCTCAGCAGTGGGGCCACACAGGCCACGTAGGCCACAGCTCAATCACACCTTCTCCAGCGCCGGGTGTCCTCTTCCTCGTCTCCTCTCTCAGGGACCGAGAGGCACCAGCCCTCTTGATTCTGTCCTCCATGCCCAAAAGACCCTTTCCTTTGCTGAAGCTCCTCATCGACCGCCATCCTCTCCAGTCTCTGACTCACTTTTCCTTATGACGCTTAAAGCCCCCAACCCAATACCAGAGCGCCACTCTTAGCCTGCCTACCGTCCTTTTCAGCAGAAACTTTCTTTGCTGGGTGTGGCTCGAGCTGGCTGGACACCGCATGGATGCTCTGACTTTGCTGGCGACACCCAGAGCCTGGCCACTTGGATGGAGGCCCTTTCTCTCTACCAAGACAGACTGGGACCATGTTGCTGTCATGTGGCTTCCTATGGCCCAGCCACTCTGAGGCTTGCCGGCCTTGACCCTGGGGTCCTCCATATCTCAGATGGATGACTCAGAGTGTCAGGAAGCTCAATCATAGCAGAGGGTTCAAGCTGGTCCTTCCCAGGGTGCTGGGGCTGCCCACAGAGCCAAAGCATCTTGGGCTTTGCCAAGGAGGAGGTGGTCACAGACCTTGCCTCGTCTTCTATCTCCCCTGGCCACCACCTTCAGCTCCGTCCCAATGGCAGGGAAGGGCCAACCTCAGCTCATTCTGAGCCCTGGCAGACCGGGCCCTCTCCTTACTGGGCTGTGCCAAGCTGCTGTGCCCCTCTCATTATGTGCCTTCACTTCTATCAGCTACACCTGGGAGATTGGGTTTATTTTTTTAAAATAAGAGTCTTAGCACCCCAACATCCTAGCACTTCCTCTGGGCACCCATCGGCAGCCTGCCCTGACTCCTCCTGTCCCAGCTAGCACAGGTGAGTGAGCATTTCCTTCCTCCCATCCCCCACTCCCAACAACGCCACAGACCACACACTGAAGAAGGGAGAGGGGTCACGCACTCAGCCATTTCCAGGGACTTGGGGATCCGTTCCACCTCAGCGAACCGTGACCGCACGGCGGCATCGTCCCCTTGGAGCCAGCCAATGGTCATCCAGACCGCGGACGTCCACCACCTGCAGATGACATCTGGGCCTGCGTGAGGAACAGTAAGGACAGGTGGTCAGTCACCACAGCACATTCGTGCCTGGGTCACCTCCTCGCATGGATAAGAGAGACGGCAGCGTCGTGAGCGGCCACGCGGTGGCCGTGGTAATTCCACGAACCCCATTCAGAACGGCCACCGGCCTACAGGACAGAGCGGCCTGGGCTTGTGTCTGAGGACACCTCATCATTCCCCGAATGCCTCGTCCGAAGGCCCGCAACTTGAGGAGAGGAGGGGGCCTTAAGCACGCCCGTGTGGCTGTGTGGAAGAGCTGGGGAAAGCAGGCAGCCAATAAACTCCGAGCTACTTAAACAGCTTGAAAACATACTTAAATGATTTTATTTATTTCAATATGAATACTTAATATATTTTAAACTATTCAAAGTCTATCCCCCAAAACAGGGATTTCTTAACCAGGGGTCCGTGAATGTGGGCAGATTTGCACGGAGTCCACGAGCTTATTTCCAAAGATAATCTCAATAACTCTTTCAGCATGATCAGTGCCCTGGTAATCCTGCGCTTCTTATTTTACACATTCAAAAACAGGACTCTTGACAAGGGGCCTGTAGGTCTCGCCAGACTGACTGTCCAAGGGACCAGCACTCCCTTAAACAGAACGGCAGCAGACAAACCAGACAACTGGCTGGGAGCCCCTGAAGGCACGGAATGCCAGGCCCAGACCTGCCTCCCTCCCAGGAGTCCCAGTCCCACACGCCCTCCCTGCCAGGCTCGGCCCGACCCGGGGCCTTCAGCAGGGGTGCTGGCGCAGCTCACCCTGTGGGTTTCACCCCAGGGGATGGCAGCTGAGCTCGGCTTTCTCAGCACGTCTGGAGACCCCAGCCTGTCCCTGACCCTGTGTCCCTGTGTCTGGCCTCCCCTTCAGTGACTCAAGAAGGTGAAAACCACCCCCACCCCCACCCCAAGAGACTCACCGAGTGCTGACTTCAACACTGAGCTGTTTGTGAAAGGCGGGGCCACAACCCCCCCAGAATCCACAAAGGAATTCAGTAGCTTCAGATACTCCAGGGCACTGGACAGCTCGCTGACAATGAGAAACCAAAGGAAGAGCCACTGACTGTGGGGGCCCTTGACCCGGGCCCACCTTCCCTAAGCCCCTTACTCTCTGCCGCCAGCTGAAATCCCCCCAGGCCCAGTGCCGGTCACTCCACCTGTGTGCACACCTCCGCGGGCCACCGCCCAACCGAGCCCAAGTTCTCTGGCTGGCTAGCCACAGAAGGCTGCCCACAACGTGGCCGCACGTGACCCTTCCAGCCTCCCCAGGATCAGAGCGGCAGGGCTGGCAGGGACCTCCCGGGCCACTGAGTCCAACCCTTCATTTTACACATGAGGAAACTGAGGCCCAGGATCTTCCCCGAACCCTCTTGCTCCCACACTGCTTAATATGCACTACTCATTTTCACTCCCTCCACATATTAAGTGGCTCAGTGGATAGAGCGCCGGGGCCTCAAACCAGGAAGATCTGAGTTCCAATCTGGCCCCAGAAACTCCCTAGCTGTGTGACCTTGGGCAAGTCACTTCACCTGTTTACCTCGGTTTCCTCAACTGTAAAACAGGGGTTACTAACACTACCTACATCCCAGGATCCAGTGGGATAACCATATTGTCAAACTGCTTTGCAAACCTCAAAATACTGTCAAAATGGAAGCTGCCGTGTCAGGCAAACTGACCCAGAAGCTCTCCCCGCTCCCCCCACCCCTTCCATAACTCCTCACACAAGGGTCCCTGGGCCTGGGGAGCAAACCCACCACCAGCACATGAAATCATAGGAGCTTTTCTTTGAGGCCCAGCTCCCAGCTGCCTCCTCCAAGAAGGCTCCCTTGATTTCCATGCAGAAAGAGACAGAGGCACTGAAGTAGCTGTGGCTGTGCCTGTGTGTCACTGCCCCAGTGAGGCTATGGGCTACCTGAGGGCAAGCACTGTGCCCCGCAGGAGGTGGACTCTCCACCGGGTTAGATCTCATTAGTAGGATGCCTGGCTGCCAAAGGGGCCTGCCCCAAGGCTGGAGATGGGCCATCCAGCAGCCCAGCCCAGCCCAGCCCAGGCCCAGCCCCAGGCCAGGCCCCGTGCCCTCCCACTCCCGGCACGTACCAGGTCTCCTCGTCCTGCTCAGCTCGGCCCTTCTCGGCCTGCGGCTTCACCAGGGCATCCACAGCACGCTCTAGCAGGTGCTTGCAGAAGGCCTCGTGCACCTGTGCAATGGGGTCCGCTGTCGAAGGCAAGAGACGGAGAAGGCTTTAGTCGGTTTCAGACGCACACTCTCCGGGGATTCACGCGGACACGAACCACCTCCAACAGGGCAAAACAAACCCGCCCTTCTCTGGGAGAAAGCCACGCCCACGAGGTAGGAAGAGGCAACGAGACCCTGGGGGGCCCCTCGAGCCCCCTCAGACTGCACTCGCCCTTGGCCCAAGGCTGGGGAAAGGGACCCATGGGCACAGGAGTATTCACGGCGCTCTCCTAGTAGCGGCGTGGAAACCAAGGGGGTGCCCACCAATCGAGGCACGTGGACAACACGGACCACGGCTGTGCTGCACAAAACGACCTAGGGAACCCGGGAAGACTGCCACGCACTGCCACCGGGCGAGAGGCAGCACCAGAACCCTCTGTGCAGACACATCAGAGACAAATGCCGTCCCCCAGGCCAATTCCAAGAGACAGGGAGAAAGCGGGCCACAGCTCGGGACAGCCCAGAGCAGAGACGGCACCTTCTGGGGCGCGGCCGACGCCCAATCAGGCTCCGCGTACGTTCAAAGGGCTTGTTTCTGTTTTCTACTGAGGAGAGACAAGGGGGCCAGAATATAAAGGCTTGTTAGTGGGGGCAAAGTTAAATTCTGGGGGGGGGGATGGCTGGACAGTCCGGTGAGCAGAGGGGACAAGATGTCACCGGGCAGCACAAATGGCGCCTGTGAGGAATCGGGAGAACGCAGGGAGAGGCGCAGGAGCTGACGCCCAGCGCCCAAAGCAGGCCCAAACGACGAGCCACATGAGGAACACAACTACAGGAGCAAAGGGGGTGGCACGGAGGGAAGCCCACTCCCTCTGAGAAACTGAAAAAGGATGACGCTGAGAGGTGGGGGGCTACCGGGACACAACGGCAGAGGCACTCTCAGAAGGAGGCGCAGCATTAGACGCTTTGCTCAACTGTCACTGCCCCAAAGGACAGCCTGATCGGCGCTCTTTCTTCGTTTTCTTCCCCTCAGAAATGGTGACGATGTCAAGAAGAAGTGCACCAGTAAAATGTTTCTTTTCAAAGGTAGTATCTCCAACAGAGCCCGAATGTGTGAGACGCTGTGGGCTGGGTCTAACCAGCTCTGCCATCCTTGAGTGGGCAGAGGAGGTGGTGACAGCCCACAGGGGACAGAGGCAGAGAAGAAAGATGGACGGCAGCACCAACCTTGCAGCCCAGTGGGCCACGCCTCAAGGGGAGTGGCTGTCTACCCCAGCTCTGGAAAAGGGAAAAGGCAGCGGAGCCTGGTGAGGGAAGGGCGGCCTCCAGGGCCTGGCCACTTCACACCACGCTGCTGGGGAGCAGCAGCCTGCAGGCCCGCAGCAGCCCTCTGAAGGGGGTCTGCCACCCTGGACCCCCGAGCGGCCAAACAGCTTGATCCTAGAGCGGACGGGGGTAGCCACAGCCTGTGAGAACAAATCACGGGCACCACGGCCTAAGGGAGGATGAGCTGAAGGGGCGTTTGAAATCCTGGCCACGACTTCCTGGGACAGGAATCAGGACGGTCCGGCAGTCCGCCACATTCTCACACCCAGGGAGCACAGTGTGTCAGACAAGGCAACTGCCTATGGCCTGGAAGGCCAGAGCATGGCCAGTGACGAGGGGTCCAGACCCCGATCGGGTTCACATTCTTTCTCCTCAACAGCCAGTGGCACAGAGAAGGCCTCCCACACCCCCTGAGCCATGGCACGACCCTTCATTCCTGCTTCTTTCGTTTTGTTTTCTGTTCTACGGGTCTCTGCCCTCTGGCCACCAAGCCCCCGGCCTGGGCCCCAGCAGGCAGGGCCAATGGCGTCCACCTTTCCCCTCCCATCTCGGCCAGACAGACTCTCACCTGGGTCCCGAGGGGCACAGTACAGGCTCTCCTTGGTGGCTGACTTCACCGACCAGCTCCGCTCCACAAAAAACTTCTGACCCAGGGGATGGCAGAGCCAGCGCAGGGAGTCAGGAACGGCGTTCCGCTCAGGGCCACACAAGCTCTGGGCTCGGCTCAGGAAGTAGCTCTGTGAAGGAAGGGTGGGCCAAGGGTCCCCGGAGAGGACCGTGACAAGATGAGAGGCGGAGGTCACCGAGGGTGAACCCGTCAATACATGTGTGGGAGGGAGGGCTGACGGCCTGGGCAAGCAAAGCCAAAACCTGTGAACGTGGCGCCGGACACAAACACACAGGAGCCGCGAGGCTGAGGCTGTGCCGCCATCACCCTGACCCCCAGCCCCAAGGAGCCCCGAGGGGAGAGGGCGAAGTCAGGAAGGTCAGGGAAGCAGCAAACTCCCAGAAGGCCTGACAGCCTCCCTCCCTGATCCCCCAGGCAGCCTGAAGGCCTCCGTCCCTGATCCCCGATCCTGATTCCCCAGGCAGCCTGAAGGCCTCCCTCCCTGAACCTCCAGCCACCTGGGAGCTGACATTCAAAGGGACTCAGCTACTCGGCTCAGTCCATCTCCTCTCCCAGAAAGGCAGCCTGAGATCGAGAACAGTACTGAGCTCAAAGTCAGGAGAGACCCAGGTTCAAGTTCCAGCTGTGACACTTGGCATGCCCCCACCTCATGGGACTGCTTTGCCTCTGAGCCTGGAGGGTGCTCTGCAGCCCCCACAGGGGTGGTCCCAGCTGCTGCCAGGGTGTGGGAGGCATAGCGATCTGGCCACCTAGGGCACGGACAGTGTCTTAACCCCACCCTCCCCCCACAGGATGCGGCACACAGGAGGCACCTCACGGAGGCCCTCCTTAACGAAGGGCCTGTTTTGGCCCCAGAGATCAGAACTAGAAAAAAAGGTGGCTGCCTCCGTGGGAGCCTGGCAATGAGCGGCAGCACACCCTCAGCACTTTACAAACACTGTCTCACCTGGACCTCAGAACAACCCTGCAAATAGGTGCCGCCACTATCCCCATTCTGCAGATGAGGAAAATGAGGCTGGCAGAGGGGCGATGATTTTCCTGGGGCCGCACAGCTAGGAAGCATCTGAGTCTGGATCTGAACTCGGGTCTTCCTGATTCCAGGCCCAGGGCTCCACCCACTGCCCCATGTAGCTGCTATGCCACAGGCTGAGCGCGCAGTAGACAAGCCAACCTCCCAGGCTGGGCCTGGCACTGCCCACAAAGGGCTGCCCGATCCGCACGCGGGGCTGCGCGGGGGCAGTGCGGAGCTGGCACACCGGCGACCCGGGCACTGGCCACCAACCCGCCCCCCCGTCCCCGCAGCAGGCTCAATGGGCCGGGGCCGAGTCAAGAGGTACTCACCGCCAAGAAGCCCAATTTGCCCCCGCAGCGGGTCTTGAGCCCCACAGCTGCCGTGAGGTGGATTTCAGCCTGGGTACTCGGAGGGATCTTCTCCTCGGCACATTCGGCCAGGTTCACGGCACACAGGGCCATGTGCAGATCGGAGCAGGCGGAGCCAGCTGGGAGCTTCCCTGCAGAAAGGGGACATCTATATGAGAGCCAGCCACCCACACACGTGCAGCACACGGGTGGCCTCCAGGGCCAAGGGAGGCTCAGCCCAGCCTCAGGGGTGGCTCCCAGGCCAACAGGCACAAAACCCAGTGTTTCTTAGAGCAGCTCCAAGAACACAGTAGGCGGTCACAATCCCCGGGCAGAATGGGTCATCGGGGTCTCCACAGGGGGCATTTCCCTCTCATGGGAAGTCTTTGAGTGGGGACCAGATGAACCCTTATTGACTGCACTGCAAAGAAAAGGGCTGTCTGCATGGGCCAACTGACCTAGCCCGGGGGTGTGAACCTGGGGTCCATTACCTTTTCAACATTTCGGTAACTGTGTTTCCTTTGTCATCTCATGTAATTTATCTCCCGCCTCTGAAAACATGGCCCTGGGCTTCTCCAAGCAGCCGAAGGACCCATTCAGCATACACACGAGGCCAACTCTGAACTTTCAGGATTCCCTGGCTCCTGTCCTGACCCACGGACATCTCCAACTTAGTTAATCATTCTTTAAAACGAGCTTTAAATCACTTCACTTCAAACCTCAGGTTACACCGGTGTCCTTGTGAAACCCCTGGGAGACTGTGAGTGCCAAGGGCAGGGCCTGGCACACAGCAGGGGCTTAATAAAGGTTTACTGCCTGACAGAGGCAACCTGCAAGAGTATGAGGCATGCAGGCCAGATGTGGGATTCTGCAGATGGAAAGACAGGGATTTGAACAAGCAAACCCAGGGTGGGGCCCAGGCCCTGATTCCCTAGTGAAGGGCCTGGGAGCCAAACACTAGCAGGCATTGGCCACATCTCCCTAAATGCTGGGGGTCCTGGGCCCTGGCCATTGGGGTCAGTCCCTGCCGAGCCGCTAGAAAGATCTCTGCGGGAGCCTAACTGGGGCATTGTGGGAAGCCCTTCGGAGGTGCAGGGACCTCAGCCGGCCTGGCTCTGGTCAGAGGCCCTGGGCCCCTGGCATGTACACTTAATCTGAAAAGGTTTTTTGTCAGCTTGTATACGTATCCAGCTCCATTTATACAAACCTGTACACATGTTCACATATACACCAGTGCACACACGCGCGCGCACACACACACACACACACTTTAAAATCCTGCCCCCTAAGCGTGAGTGATCCCCCATGTTCTGTCCTGGGTCTTCTTCTCTCCTGTCTCCATGCGCTCTCATTGACAAGCTCTCCTGGGATTCACAGGCATCTCTAGCCACTACCCAAGGCTCTAGAAATCCAGCCCCAGCATCTTCCCTGACATTCCATGCCACAACACCATCTGCCCCCTGGATGCCCCAAAGACGTTTTAAACAACCTGTCTTAAACAGAGCCATCACGTCTCCTCCAAACCCTCTCCTCTTCTATCCAAGGCCCCACTGCACTGTCGGTCTCTGCTCATCACCTCGGCATCACTCCTGACCCCTCACCTTCCACCCCCACCCCCCCGCGCTTCTACCTTCCCAACACGCCTCACACCCAACCCCTCCTCTGGGCTCTCCTAGCCACCCCCTCCATGGTCCCAGCCCTTTGTCCCCGACATCGCTGCTGCAGCCTCCTGGCTGGTCCCCCTGCCTCTAATCTCCCCACTTCAGTCCACCCAGCTCCCAAAGGAATTCTCCTTACGTACAAATCTGACCAAGTCATTCCCCTCCCTATTCCACCAGTGGCTTCCCGTTGTCTCCTGAACCCAACATCGACCCCTCTGCTTGGCATTTTTGGCCGTACCCGGCCCGGCCCCAGCTCGCAGCCTCCCTGGACCTCCCCTCCCCACCCGCACTCCATGCTGCCACATGACGCCCCACTTCCTCAACTTTGCCAGGGCTGTTTTCCCCATGCCAGCATGCACACAGTAGGCACTCAACAAATACTCCTAGACGGACTGCCACCTCCCTACAAGCACAGGTCCAGGGCCACACAAATCTGACTCAGGGCAGTGGTGAGAGTCTTACAGAAGCTGACGGGGGAGGGGTCTAATGCAGTAAGCATCACCTGACCAAGGGTCAGGGGGCTGGCTAAGGCGAGGCTGGGGGGCTACAAACCAAACGGGAGGACGCTTCACACATTCAACTCTGGCAGAGCCACAAGAGATGACCCAGCTGGGCCCAGAGCCCTCTGGTGGCAGACGGGCAGGGAGCAGGCCAAAGGATGATGGCAGAGCTGAGCCAAGCTCCGGGAGAGGACTCCCCGCAGCCTCGCCTGACCTGTGATGTGCAGCTGGTGAAGCTTGTGGTAGGCCAAGGCAGCGTCCCGAGCGCTGGTCTTGGCCTCGTCTTCGAAGCCGCCGGGTGGCCGCTGCGACACCTTCTTCAGCAGCCAGCGCACCAGCCTCAGTTTCTGCAGGCTGTATCGGATCACGTTCCAGGAGAGGCTGCAGGCCAGGTCCAGGTGGGAGGTGGGCAGCGTGCGGCCCAGGACAGACAGGCACGTCTGCAGGTTAGAAGCTGCTGCAGCAAAATCCCCCTGACAAAGGAGAGGAGAAAAGACGATACTGTCATCCCTGGTTTGTCCTCGGTGTTACTAAAATTCGATCAGACTGAGGACCGTTGGCAGAACTGCCCCGGGCTTCTCCGGGAGGGGAGGAGAGGAGGAGGAGCTACCTCTGTTTCCTCGCCAACAGGGTTACCAGCACATCAGGGAAACACTACACCGTAGCCTATCTCAACTTCAGGAGAGCCAAGAAGAGAAGGTGGGGTGGAGGGCAGGCTGGTACGGTGGATTCACAAAGGAGCAATCATACTCAACTCAGGGACCACGGGAAGGGGGGTCTCTAGAGGCGTGCCAGAGGGGAAGAGATGCTTTTTGTCTTGGAGTCCCTACGACCGAGGACCATGCCAGGCCCACAGAGGGTATCCAATAAGTGTTTACTGAACAGGGTTGGAGGCTTCCCCCCGCCCCATATTCTGGATTGTTAATGACATGCATGAAGACACTGGTTACCAAATTCATGGTTGACCTGAGAGATCACACAATCTCACCACACACAGGACGAAGGAATGAAGGAATGAATGAAAGAAAAGGGTCAGGTAAAACCAACATGATAAAACATCAACTGAGATAAATGTAAAGTCCTGCAAAGGCCCAAACAGTCAGCCACCTAAGCACAGAACGGAGGGACCTGGCTTAGCATATGCTCCCACGGCTCATCCACCATTAGGTCCCAGGCAGCTTATTGCAGTCTAGGGATTTGGAATCAAGACGACCCAGATGTGACCCGTACTTCAGACTCTGACCGCCTGTGTGACCCCAGACAAGGCCCTCCCCCAATCTGGGATTGTTCCCTCATCTACAAAATGAGGGGGCCGGCCTCTTCAGTCTCCAGTTCTAGAGCTGTGACCCTGCAAGCAGGCAGAAAGTCCCAGAGAACCACGAGACAGTGACATGCAGGGGAAAGAAGGAAGAGCTTAGATCAAGGCAGTGACCAATTCTGAGTGTGAGGCTCAGAGAGGAGGGCCCAGGTCAGCCGGTGCCTGGGTTTATTTGATGTGGTCATACTTCTCACAAGGCAGGGCTTGACTTTTCTTTTGGGGGGAGAGAGAAGAGTTGGAGGTCAGTGATAAAGACAAAGACTGGACCTGTGGTTTCACTGGAGTACAAGGGAACTTCCAGGTAAGAAAAGCCCCTCCACCAGTGCAGGTTAACACCTTTGAAACTTAAGAGTCTCGGAGTCGTGAACTGATCCAACCATTCTGGAGAGCAATTTTGAACTATGCCCAAAGGGCTATAAAACTGTGTATACCCTTCGACCCAGCAACAGCACTCCTAGGGCTATACCCGAAAGAGATCAAACAAATGGGAAAAGGACCCACATGTACAAAAATATTCATAGCAGCAAAGAATTGGAAAGTGAGAGGATGCCCATCAATTGGGGTATGGCTGAGCAAGTTGTGGTATATGAATGCAATGGCATACTATTGTGCTATAAGAAATGATGAACAGGCTGACTTCAGAAAAACCTGGGAAGACTTATGTGGTCTGATGCTGAGTGAAGTGAGCAGAACCAGGAGAACGTTGTACACTGTAACAGCCACGTTGTGTTATGACTAATATTGACAGACTTAGCCCTTCTCAGCAATGCAAGGATCTCAGACATCTCCAGAGGTCTCATGATGGAAAATACTATTCACATCCAGAGAAAGAACCATGGAGTTTGAATGTTGATCGAAGCAGACTATTTGCTCTTTTCTTTTGCTTTATTTTTTGTTTTATTTCTTCTTTCTCGTGGTTCCTCCCATTAGCTCTAATTCTTCTATACATCATGACTAATGTGAGAACATGCTTAATATGAATGTATAAGTAGAGCCGACATCAGATTCCATGTTGTCTGGTGGCGGGGGGGGGGGAAGAGAAAATTTAAAATTCAAAATCTTATGGAAGTGAATGTTCAAAACTAAAAAATTATTTGAAAAGAAATTTTTTTTAAAAGAAACTTAAGAGTCTCAGAGAGTTGACCAGAGCAGTGAGAGGCAAAAGCGGAGGCCAGGTCTTCCTGGCTTTTAGCCCAGCTCTGCCCTGGAGTCGTAATGACACTAAAAAAGTGGATCACAAACAGAAGGGAGTAGAAGAAGGCTCCCCCAGGACACTGGGAACCCCCCGTACCCATGGTGCAGTTCAGAGGGGCAGGGTTTTCTACACAATCCCCTTGTCTGGTGTTCTGGGCATACTGGAATGTTCAAGTTTGTTGATTTTTATATTTCATACTACAACAAGAAAATTAAAAAAACATTCCAGCCACCCATGCCGTGACCCTGGGCTGCTCCTTTCCCCATCTTGAGAAGGAGCCGGGTGAGCTCTGCTCACTAAGTCATGGGGACAGGAAGGGGCACTCTGGGAGGGTCCCAGAGAGAGGATTCCACCACTGGGGGCCCAGACCTGAAGTCCCTGTACTACCTGCTCCAGTGCTCAGTTTGTCCTGGGGCCTTGCCCACGCCACCCTCCCAGAACAGACCAGAGGAGAGACGTGAACCTATATCTGTCACAGGAGGGAGGGACGCTTCGTTTTCACAGCCTTCAAGATGACCGGGACCCAAGGAGGGGGATAACGCACCCTGGCCAGGTCCAGGTCGGCCTGCTTGCGATGGCGCCAGAACGTGACCGAGGTTTGCGAGTGCATCCGGATGATGGGCTCCCCGTGCACCAGCAGCTTGATGAAGACGCTCAGGACAATCAAGCCGTTCAAGGACCACAGGAGGAGGGTTGGGAACATCCAGTCAAACCAGCCGCCGGCCCCTGGGGAGTGAGGGGATAGAAAGGGGTAAGAGACAAAAGAAAACACTGGCAAACTGAGGCCCAGCAGCACCTGGACAGGGAAAGCCCAGCCCAAGAGCAGAGGCTCATCAGAGGCCACCAGACTGACTCTGCTCCTCCTCTGACACAGGGGGAAACTGAGGCCCAGCTGCACCTGGACAGGGAAAGCCCAGCCTGACAGCAGAGGCTCATCAGAGGCCACCAAACCGACCCTGCCCCTCTTGTGACACAGGGGGAAACTGAGGCTCAGCTGCACCTGGACAGGGAAAGCCCAGCCCAAGAGCAGAGGCTCATCAGAGGCCACCAGACCGACCCTGCCCCTCTTGTGACACAGGGGGAAACTGAGGCTCAGCTGCACCTGGACAGGGAAAGCCCAGCCCAAGAGCAGAGGCTCATCAGAGGCCACCAGACTGACCCTGCCCCTCCTCTGACAGAAGGGGAAACTGAGACCCAGGGAGAAGCAGCGATTTCCCAAGCTGCAAAGGTAAAAGTCAGACCCAGGGCCTCCGACTCCACCACTGGGAGTCTCCAGACCATCCAAGAAGAAACCCAAGCCAGGACAGAGCTCAGCCTCCCCACTTCACTCTCACCCCCTGCTGTGGGCTCCTCTGGGAGGATCGGGGTAGGAGATGAGCAGTGCTGCTTCATCAAACAAAACCAGGGAGAGGAAGTAACTAAATATTCACAGCTAACACCAACTCTACAACTCGAGGATTAGGGGAATCCTCTGTCCGCCACACAATGTCATCTCTCTAAAGCCCAGCCTAAAGGGGTCAGGTTTCTAGCTCTCACCAGGCCAGCATGGCAAATGGAGAAAGAGGAGCATACCCCTCCACCCCCGCGAGCTCCCCAAGTTCTTCTTGCCCTGGGGCTTTTGCTCACCACCCGTCACATGTGGACGGACAGTCAGCCTTGCCAGAACTGCTTCTGTGACCATCGTCAGGCTAGGCCTTGACCTCAGCCACAAACAGCAGGCTAGACAGAGGGTCTCTGAGGGGAGGGCAGCCCCTTTGGGCAGGGTCCCACCTGAATCAAAGGAAAGGATGCTTCGGCTGGAGCCCCTGGGCGCCGGCTGGCCAGAGCTGTGGGCCCCTCCCCATTCCAGCAGTGACGTCAGAGGGTTGAAGGAGAGACACAGACAGGTGAGCATGCACAGCAGGATGCGGGAGCGGTCCACCATGCCCAGCGCCACAGGCGAAGAGTCGGGCTCGTCTTTGACCTTCGACACAGACCAAGGGGGCCGAGAAGAAACCACAACAGAAGCCGGTTAGAGGCTCCATAAGGTGTGCTGCTGTCACCTGGCGTCCAGGTGCACATGTCCTTATGTTTTCAGGGCAGTCTCTGGGCAAAGTGCAGATTTCTAAAGCGCCTCCTGCAGCCTGTCTGTGAACTACCAAGGCCTCCAGAAATGTGAGTTCTCCTGGATTTGAATGATAAATAACCCTGTGGGGCAGAGGCTCCCTGAGAGGGTGGATGCATGGCTGCTTGGCCCCAGGGCGGCCTCCTCTCTGAACACCATTTCACTTTATACACCAGGACAGGAGAGCCAAGAAGTGCTCACGCCAGGGGAGCGCAAAGTCAGGAAGGCTGCCAGCAAGCCCAGCTCTGCCCAAAACACTAAATATCCTTCCTCTCCCACCTCCGTCTCACCCAGGGCCAAGCAACAAGGTCACTTCCCCAGCAACTCCAAACCTGCTGCTGTGCACTGGTACCCAAGGACACCCTGACCCTTCTTTCTAACTTTGGCTCCCCTACTGGGGCTCATTTCCCCCATTAGAATGTCAGCTCCATGAGGGCAGGGACTATCTCATTTACTTGTATTTGTATCATCAGGTCCAGCACACTGTAAGCATTTAAATTCTATCTATCTATCTATCTATCCATGTGTGTATCTCCATCCGCAGATCTCTATCATCCATCCATCCACAGCCATCCACCTCTGTCCATCCATCCATCCACAACCATCCACCTCTGTCCATCCATCCATCCATCCATCTCTGTCCATCCATCCATCCATCCATCCACAGCCATCCACCTCTGTCCATCCATCCATCCATCCACAGCCATCCACCTCTGTCCATCCATCCATCCACAGCCATCCACCTCTGTCCGTCCATCCATCCACAACCATCCACCTCTGTCCGTCCATCCATCCACAGCCATCCACCTCTGTCCGTCCATCCATCCATCCATCCACAACCATCCACCTCTGTCCATCCATCCATCCATTCATCCACAGCCATCCACCTGTCCATCCATCCATCCATCCACAGCCATCCACCTCTGTCCATCCATCCATCCACAGCCATCCACCTCTGTCCATCCATCCATCCATCCATCTCTGTCCATCCATCCATCCATCCATCCACAGCCATCCACCTCTGTCCATCCATCCATCCATCCAGCCATCCACCTCTGTCCATCCATCCATCCACAGCCATCCACCTCTGTCCATCCATCCATCCACAGCCATCCACCACCTCTGTCCATCCATCCATCCACAGCCATCCACCACCTCTGTCCATCCATCCATCCATCCAACCAACCATCCACAACCATCCACCTCTGTCTGTCCATCCATCCATCCATCTTTCTTGCTTTCTTCTCTCCTTTCTCTCCTCTCCTTTCTTTTTTTTCATTCATTTACCAAGAACAGAGAAAAAAGAAGCCCCCAAGTCTAAGTGGGAAAGAGTCTTTTGCAGCACAGGGCCAGGCAGGTCCTGAATCCCTTTGCAGGATGGCTCGAGCCTGAGCGTCTCACTTCCCCGATCCTGGCTCTGGTTTCTTTTAGTGCTTTATTTAAGTCACGTTTCAATCTGTTTCTCCATAGCATAGTAGACAGCACTAAATTCACTTGAGGCTCAAGAGGCCCATTTCTGACATTTACCGGCCAAGTCACTGGACTTCTCAGGACCTATTTTCTCACCCGTAAAATGGGATAATTGTTCTCAGGTTGCCCATGGCCTCACAGGGTCTTTGGGAGGAATGGAGTCTGCCCCTGAAAGTGCTAAATAAATGTGAGCTCCGCTTCTCAGAAGGATAGCAGGGCTGACTCAGGAATGATCAAGGCCCTGCGGACTGCACATCCTGTATCTTTGGGCCCTCTCTATGGGCGCACACCACCACCTTATCTGTGCCTTAACAAATAATCCTCACAAACCGCTAGAGTCAGAAGAAGAAGCCAGAGCCCCATCACCAAGGGCCGCATTGGCTATCAAACACCAGCCACACAGTCCATGCCCCGGAGATGCATACTAGAAGCCTTTCCAAACTTGCCCCACCCACACTGGTGTCCTGTCATGGCAGCCTTCAAGGTCCCAGGGTCTCTTTGGTACTAGGTCGAGGCAGCGGCTGACCCAAATTAAAATGAAACAGCCTTTCTCTCCATTGTGCACTTGGAAAAACTCAATTTGGGAGCGAGGATGTGACTGGCCTCAAGCCACCCAGAGGGGGGCTGAAACGGGAGCCCAGGCCTCCCGAGCCAACAACCCTCACAGCCCATGAAACTCCTTCGAAAATTACCTTTCTTCCTCGGAATCCTTGTTGAAGCAACTTCTAGGGCTTATTTTAAGAACAAAAGCATTTTTTAGAAACCCAAATTTACCAAGTTACATTTCATTTAATGAGATTTCTGTGCCCAACCTCAAAGGAATGATTTCGTTTAAAAATGTTCTAAAGGGAAGCTCAAAATGCTAACTTAGCTGCCATCATCCCAATGTAGCTTGAGCCCCTGGGGTGCCCCTCTGAGCCCCCCAAAAGACAGCCTGATGACAACTCCCTTCCTTCTAAGTCATTCTATTCAGCTAGCCTCAACAAGGGCTGTTTTCTTTGCCTCTGGTCTTGGTTTTAATGCTTTCTACTAGATTGCAAACTGGAACAGCAAGGTCTACTACTGATTATCCAGAGGCCTGAGGCAGGCCCATCCCCACTGCTGGCCCACCAGGGCAGAATTCTGCTCCTTCGGCTTTCCCTGGCTCCCAATGGTCAGCATGCCCCTGCTTTCTCTGTGGGACACTTAATCCTACGGACAAGCCCTTTAGCCAAAGCTGGCAAAGCCCTGGAGAAAACAGTCCCTTTTTCTCTCTTCTCCCCTGACAACGTGGCCAATCTTAGTGGACCACAGACAGAGCCAGAAAGGATGCCCTGGCACGCTTTAGACAGAAGGGGCTGCAGGGCCACCAAGGTGGAACAGGGCAGAGGAAATCAGATCCTGCGGCTCCAGACACAAGTCTGCCCTCACGCCCCACAAGCGTCGCCAACGGCCCCCTGGGCGTCGTAAAGGCCAAGATAGACCTCGCTCTCCTGCCCCTCCAGCCCTGGCCCTGCAGAGGGCACTGCCCCATGACATGTGCCCGTCCTCTTCAGCTGCACACTTCTCCAGGCTTGTCTCTCCCTTCCCCCGTCTCTATCTACACCCCATTCTTGGCAGTCGCGTGGCCATGAGCCTCGTCCAGGCCCCCCACTTCCTCTAGAAGGGCTCCTGCTAGCCGCAGCCTTCCCAAGCATTTCTTAGTGTACACTTCAGCCCTTGTAACTCACTACTCACTCAGCTCCAGGGGCTGCCTGTTACCACCAGGATCAAACTGAAACCCCTCTGTCTGTCTGGCACATAAAGCTCTTCCCAGCCTGCCTCTTCTCTGCCCTTCAAGCCTTCCTATGCCCAATGCTGCCCTCCACAAGCTCTACAATCCGGAGATGCTGCTGCTCTATTGGGAGCTGCTTGAATACGACTCTGCATCTCCAGTCTCCGTGCCTTTCCCTGGCTGCCCCCCTGCCTGGTGGGCCCTCCCTCCTTACCTCCACCCACGTTCTGTAGGGGCCTTCCGTGGCACTCCCGGCCACTAACGCCTCCCCCTCAGCCGCTTTCCTGCTGACTCTAGGTATCCTGCATGGGCGCAATGGTTTGCACGGTGTCTCCCCATCAGAACGTGGGAGCCTGGAAGACAAGGGGCGCACTCCTTGCCTTTCTTTGGGGTCCTAGCCCCCAGGGCAGCACTTGGTTCCTTTGACTGGTACCTCGCCAGCATCCTTATTATTTGCCTTCTCTCTCCCTGCTCTCTTCCTTCCCAGCCCCCTGTCGGGATTTGCAGATGCTTTCAACCAGACTCTTCTTACCTTAGCATCATCTAACAAAGGACTGCCCGGCTCTGAATCGATGGAGTAAGGGGAGAAGCCTGCTTGGGAGCCTGAATCAGAGGCAGGGGGAGACATCAGCAGAACGTTCTGGTTGAAGTCATCTATCTTCATGTCCATATCGGTGTCCACCAGGCTGCCCAGGTCGATGCCCTTCAGAAGTTCTGCAGGGAGAAGCAGAGCTAGGCGATGCACGGCCCACTCCTCTGAGCCAGAGCGGGCCCCGCCTGGGCCCCTTCACTGCCCGCCCTCACTGGACTCCCACACTTCTGCGATTCAGTGGGCACCAGCTTGGGGCCCTCTGCCCGGGAAGCACTGCACGAACAGAGACACGGAACCTCAGGGCCAGAAGGGGCCTTCTGCATTATCCCAGACCCACAGTCAGCCAGCCTCCACCAGAGGACCCCAGGGGAGCAGCTACTCCACCTGAGGGCCGCTCGCTCCCCCATCTCTCAGCGGAAACCTCTGCAACTTCCCTCACTCTCCTGGCCAGCCCTCTGAGGCCAAGCAGAATAAATCTACAGAGGCTGGGGGTGGGGGGGTCTTTTAGTAAAAATGAGCATCATGTGTTTCTTGATGAGCAAAAGCCTGCCTTATCTCCCCCCCACCCCTCCGCTGAGAGAGAAGGAGAAACAAGACCTCTGCTGTGATCGAGTCAAGCCAAACAGACATTCGCCTGGCTGCGCCCAAGAGACAGCGCCTCACTCTCACCATCTGGGGAGTCTGTGGGCCCCTCCTCCCAACCCCATTTTTTAAAGGCATAAAACAACACATGCGGGATGGCAAAGGAAACTAAAACAGATAGGCCCCGCCCCTCCCAGGCTCAGGAGCCCCCCCAAGCCCCCTCACGGTCCCTGGAGGCTCTGCGGAACAATGACCTCACTTACTGGTTTTCTGATTGGCCAGCTTCAGCACCATGTTCTCCTGTCGCAGCTTGTGATTGGCCTGCTGCAGGTACTTAATGTAATCGATGGCCTTCCTCAGCACCCCGGACTTGTGCATCTGCAGCGAGGGGACACAGACAGAGGGGCAGTGAAGAGCCGGCAGGGCAGAGTCCCCCGGGGCGTCTGGGGAGGTCAGGGTTGAGGACCTTTATCATTCTGTGGCCACAATTCTCAAAGGGACCTTCTCCTACGAATGCCCAAATCAGAAGGGCCTCCAGAGGCCACACAGCCCCCCTCCCTTGAGAGCAGCCCAGGAAGGAGAAGTGACTTGTCCAAGGCCACACAGGTAGCAGGGGCAGAGCTGGGATTTGAACCCAGGTCCCCTCGGACTTGCCCTATACTAGGCGTGCTGTTTTCTCAGGGCACAAGCTTTCCTGATTTCTAAAAAGCATCATTTAAGAACCAAAGACATGGACTAGCTAAGTCACATGAAGCAAATTCTGCATCTTTCCCACAGGAGCCCGCACCCCGGGCAGCGAGTGAGGGGTCCTCGTGTAGGGTGTCCAGAGCCCAGAGGCCTGGAGGCTCACCCCTCGGGCCGTCTGACTGCTTGGCTCTGGGCGTCGCCATCGACACGCTGACAGCGCCCACCAGAGGGCTGAACACAGCCCGGCTCCCTGAGCCACGCAGCCGCGGGAAGCCGGGCTCAGGGCCCAGGACCCACTGTACCTTGGCGTCCGTCCCCATGACCAGGTCCTTCAGCTCGACGATCTTGTCGTTGATGGACGATCGATAGCGCTTCTCGATGATGTTGTGGGTGGTCCTTCTCTCCCCCTCCTTGGGGGGCTCTGGCGGCTTGGAGCCCCCGGGCACCTGTTTGATGGGCATCTTTTCCTGCCCCACCATCACGGGCATGGTGGTGAGGATGGCCCCGCTGCCGCCACTCACCAGGGTCTGAAACACAGGGAGGGTGACGCCAGGCCCTGGCAACACGGCGTGCCCCAGGGGCCCACCACGGAAGGCGAGCTCTTCTGTCCTCACCCCTGAAGGAGCCAGGGGCTGCTGCCATTCATCTCCCTCTTAGCTCAGGGAGGGTCAAAAGGGAAACGGCCTCCTCCCTACGGAGGTCCCATCGATCCCACCCCCACTGGATGGAAACATAGGCCCCCCCGGCCAGGAGACCCTTGATCCAGAGACAGGAGGGTGGGCTCGAAGAAGGGACCCGGCAGGGCTGAGCTCTGTAGACAAGCCCAGGAAAGGTACTTACTGGCACTTGGAGGGCCGTGGTCTGAATAGGCGTGGTGAGAGCTGTGAGGGCCGGGTTCTGCACTGCCGCCATGACCGGGCTGCCATCGGTTTTCAGTGTGGTCAAAACGAGTGAGTCTGTCTTAATAATCTGAGGCTGCACCAGGACCTGCACGGGGAAGAAATCCAAGGTGGATGAGGCCTTCAGCCCAGGACCAGGCCCTACCAAGGGATGGGAAAGGGGCATTCTACTGGACTGACCAGAAACCAGCCGAGCACACAGTAGGTGTCTGATAAATGCCCGCTTGCTGACGTGACTGTGCCCCGCTTCCCCAACTCCATCCCTGCCCCCGTGCTGCCTCACGTGTGCGTCTTCAGCCCCACCCTGACACCCCCACGGAGTACTCACCGGAACCTGCTGAACCTGAGGAGCGGCCACCGTCTGCACAGTCGCTGGAGCCAGGGCCTGAATGGTGCCACTGGCGGCCTGGGTCAGCACCCTCTGGGCCTGCACCTGGGAGGAGGCCACCAGGCTTGGCACTTGAGGCTGGAGGACTTGGGGAAGAGAGAAGAGAAGTGTGAGGGAAGGAAGAGCGGCTGTAAGCAGAGGATGGAGCCTCCTGCCAAACAAAGACAAGGGCGGCTGTTTACGGGCGGGCCGATGTCACAGGAGCACCCCACGAGGAACAGGTGCACCCCAGAGGGTCACTACAGACAATTTTATTGCTGCGGCCTCACTCCCCGGGTCTAATAGGTTAACCCTCTGCTTCCAGGATGGAGGGAGCATTTCAGGAGAACATTCCAGCTCTTGGGGCCCCTTTGGACCCCAGGAGGCTCTGCCCAGACCTTCTGAGCCAGTCCTAATCCTACTCTGGCCCTGAGTTCCCCCAGTGGTCAGGAGAAAAGTCTGAAAGGATGGAGGGAGGGCTTGTCCTGAGTGGGGCAAGGTACAAGCAGTCAGGAGCTAGCTGCTGACCTGGGGAGACGGTGAGGAAATCCCCAGGTCAACCCCAAGTTCTCACTGCCTGGGTTTTTGCCTGCTTCACAGTTGGAAGGAGGCAGGAAGGCACATTGGAAGAAGACTGAAATTGGTATCAGGCACAAGATCCTGCCTCCACCACCGACTGCTGAGACAATCAGTCACACCCTCTCTGTGCCTCAGTTTCTTGCTTTGTCAAATGATAGCTCTCAATCTGTGATCCCACAGCCGGCTGCTCAGATCGATCGCGGCACCCCTGGACTGCAATAAGGTTTTAAAACACAGGCTCACAGACCTTCCAGGCCCCTCACTTGGCAGAGGAGGAGACTGAGGGTCCGGGCTTCGGCCCTCACTGTGGAGCTGGGCTCTTCCCCCTGCCTCCAGCCACCACCAGGAGACTCCTAGTGTCCCTGCCCTGGACGTTCATTCACTTGTCATTAAGTGCAGCGAAAGGCAGGAGGAGTCCGGAGTCAAGGAAGGGGTGATTTCAGGTCTGGCTGACTCCTGCTGGCCCCGTGTGACCCTGGTGAGTCACCTCCCTTACCTGGGGCTTGGTCTCCCCCTCGACAAAACGGAACGGAAAAGTACTGCTTACGTGCTCCTAGTGTGCCAAGCACTGTGCTCCCCACGCAAGGCAGCACACAGCATGCTGGGTCCTGCCCTCTGGGAGCTCCTATTCTAACAGGGCTGACCCAGGAGGGGCGGTCATCTCTGCAGCGGCCCCCAAGGGTTGTGACTGCTTGGTCACGACCCCAAGTCCGAGGGACGCTCGGGGGCCCGTGAACTTGTGTGGGCCTGTGCGGTTGGGAAACATTTCAATGACTGCACTCCAAGGCAGCGGGCTGCCACGCAGACGGGCTGGCCGCAGCTCGCTTGAATTACCTTGGAAGCTGGTGGCCGAGTTCTGGTACAGCAGGGGCTGCTGGATGATCCTGGTCTGGGGGGCCGTGCTGAAGGTCGGGGCGATCATCACAGTCTGCTGCTGCAGCGGGGGCTGGGGCTGGGGCTGCAGGCGCGGCTGGAGCAGGGGCGCAGGCCGAGGAGGGGTGGACACGGGGGCAGAGGGGGCTTTAATCTGTGCGGGTGGAGTCTGAGGGAAGGACGCTGCAGCTGCAGCTGCTGTCGACACGGCCGCCCCCGGCGCCTGGCCGTAAGGCCGCGAGGAGGGGCTCTCCGTGGTGCCAGGGCTGCCGCTGGCACCGGCGCTGGCGCCAGGATTGCTCCCGCCGCCTCCCGGGAAAGCGCCACTGCACAGCTGATCAGAGAAGAGGTCTGGGAACTCTCCCACGTGGCTGCTCACAAACTGCAGCATCTCTGCGAACAAAACAGACAGAAGCCACGTCCAGTGCGGCCGTCGACGGCTAGAAACGAGGCGTGGGGGGAAAATGAAGTCACTTTCCCAAAGACCCAGCAAGACCTGAGCTCAAACCCAGCCTCAGGCACTGGCCAGCTGGGTGGTCCTGGGTAAGTCCCTTACCCGCTGCCTGCCTCAGCTTCCCCACCTCCCTTCCGGCGCTGCTGCACACGGTCTGGTGCATACTCACTCACTCAGATATCAGGCAAAGCCACTCGCGGTGCCTGGAACATTACAACAGCCACAAGCAGAGAGCTGGGTGGGCCTCACCCAGTTCAAACCTCTGGCTTTAGAAGGGAAACTGAGGCCCAGGAAGGGACTTGCCTGAGGGCTCACAGCTCCTTAGTCAGGGGCAGGGCAGGCACGTGGTAAGGCCGGTAACAACTGCCTTCTAGCAGAATGAGTGCTAGGCTTTGCCAACTGTGTTGGGCAGGTCATTAAACTCTAGGAGAAGTTTTCTCATCTATAATATGGGGATGATAATCCCAACACGACCCTAACTCAGAGTTACTCTAAGGGAACTGCTTCATACATCTTAAAGGAATTCATTATTAATTATGGTAATTATGCTACACAGCCCTTCTGAGCTTATCTGCCCAGGGAGCCAGGGTGCCCTTCCCCCCTCACCCCCAGTAGCTGGCTCCTTCCCCTCCTCCTCCCAGGCTGCTCCCGACCTTGAGCCCAAAACCTCAGCTCCAAGGTGTCTAAGCTCTGAAATCCCCCTGTCCTCTGCTCTGTCTGGGATCCCTAGGCCCAATGTGCCCTCTTTCCATTTCCTCCCCTTCATCACACAGCAAATACCTGGAAACTGGGGCTCCAGGAAAAGAGAGTAGCTGCAGTGCTGCCGTCCCCACCTAAATTAGTTCCCCCGAGAACACACCATGAATTCATCAGATGAGGGCCCGTCACCCCCATACCAAGGACAGGCCTACACAGTTCGTGTCTAGAGGCACCACATTTTTGAGGGGGGGCCTGGATTCTGATGGCTACGGGGGGCATTTGGAGGTTCCCTAGCGAGCCCTCCACACAGCACATCAAACGCTGGGATCTAGGGTTCGAGCAGCTGCTTCCAGGGGCGGAAGCTGATGGGCCAAAAGGCCTTGGCAAAGTTAACTTACCACATACCAACAGCTGGGACCATTTATCCCCAGGTGCTGATTCTCAGCTTCATTCTCATAGAGTCTCCCATTGGGAAAGGAGAAGAAAATTGGCCCAAAGCCTGCCACAGGCAGAGCCTCTGAATTCTTCCCAGTCTCCCAGGGGACACCATGCAACCAGGTGACATCCACGAGAGGTCACAGGATTCAAAGAAAGAAACTTAACAGCGGTCACCGACACCAGGAAGGAGCCTTGCAATGCAAGGCGGTCCCTGGGCCTCCCTCGATGCCAGGCTTTTCATCTATAATGAGAGGGTAGTACCAAAGGGCCTCAGGCCTCTTCCAGAAGTACACCTATCACTTCACCTGCTCCCGTGGGTCTAGATGGCCTCGGAGACCCTCTCCAGGTCTACAGCCAGGGGATTAGAGGCTCCTGGTATTCAGTCATGTCTGACTCTTTGTGACCCCATGGACCCTAGCATGCCAGTGCTGGCCACAGAGTTTTCTAGAGCAGTTTGCCATTTCTCCTCCAGCTTATTTTACAGATGAGGGAGTGAGGCAAACAGACGTGAAGTGAGCTGCCAGAGTTCCACAGCTAGGAAGTGTCCGAGGCTGGGTCTGAACTCAGGACTTCAACGGCAGACCCAGTGCTCTATCCACTGAGCTACCTGGCTGCTGATGGCACCTGAGATTCCGTAAATATGAAAGTTAGGGTGAAGACCGTTTTTAAAGCATGAAAAGTTTATTTACAAAATCTTTTTGCAAACAGCAACCTGCCACATTCATGGACTTGAAAACAATTCCCAGCAGCAGCAAGGCTCAAGGGGAGCAGAGAATGAGCATCTGGCTCCACAGCCGGAGCCTTCCTATTAAGCCAGATTACATAAGTGAAGAAACGAGTCAGGAGAGACTCCCTCATCAGTGGCCTGCTCCAGCTGCCCCTGCTGGGCTGACCTCCGGGACCCCAGAGAAGCTGAGGTCGGCAACTCCCCGGGGCATCTTCTGAGCTCTGGGAGACCAAGCCAAGGAGAATCAGCACTGGCTCAGCGCTCCGGGCACGGCTTCACCCAGAACTCCAGGCTGAATGACTGCCTCCCGTCCCTTCCTGGCTCTGCACATGTGTGCACGCTTATCACAGACACTCTTTAATTTCCTCTGAGAAGCACGAATGGACCAGGGAGAGGGTGAAAGGAGCAGATTTTATTAAGCTTTTAAAATTAAGTTTCAATTCACACATAACGCACTTTGCACCTGCTGGGAGGGGCTGGGGGAGGGGCACTCTCTACTCGGGATTCATCCTGGCCTCCTCCAATGAGGGCCCACCTGAGGGGGGAGCTAATAGCCCCAAGATAACACCAGGTGCCAGAAACACCAGGTAGATGGGTCCCTACCCCTTACCATGTCACTTTCCTGGTTCTACGTGCCCAAGCCAATTAATGAGATGATGCCCCAAGAAACCATATCTGTGCATTTTTTAAAGCATACACCAACCTTGGGCTCTCCCAAGACCTAACCAAGTGTCCCCCAAACCCTCTATTGGGACATTCCATCTAGACTGAGATCATCCAGGAGGGGCTGCCCGCGCTGGACGGCAGAGAGATGGGTTCAAAGTCAGAAGACCACTCTGGGTTCAAAATCTGGCTAACTACCCAGCAAATTCTCAAAGACGCCCCCAAAATGGGAATAGCCAATGCTGCAAGCCCACTATGGCACAGACAGTGGATCCGTGAACTGGCCAAACCATTCTAGATTTCAATTTGGAAGCCTGTAACTGAAATGACCAAACGGTCCCTCCCTTTTGCCCTACTAATCCCAATCCTGGGTCTCTCCTCCAAGAAGTCAAAGACACAAGTAAAGATCTATCATAGGGGTAGTGAGGTGGTGTGATGAATAGAGCTCTGGCCTTGGAGTCAGGAGGACCTGAGTTCAAATCCAGCCTCAGACACTTAACACTTACTAGCTGTGTGACCCTGGGCAAGTCACTTAACCCAGATTGCCTCATCAAAAAGTAAAAAAATAAAAGATCTATCATACACCCAAATGCTCAAAGCAGCATTCTCTGCATTAGTGGATAACAGGAAACGAAGTGGGTGCCCATCAACCGGGCGATGGGCGAAAAAACTCCGTGTAATGACCATGAACCAGATAGCATGCCTACTGTGTGCCAGGCCCTGTGTATCTGCCCTCGAGGAGCTCACAGGCTAATCTGGGGAGACAAACAGGCCAACAACTCAGCCCAGACAAGCTGGAGACGACATGAATGGAAGTAACCAGCAGAGGGAAGGCACTGACGTTAAGGGGGATGGGTAAAGGCTTCTTGGAGGAGGTGGGATTTTATTTTTAATGATTTTTTTTTATTTTGAGTTCTGAACTCTCTCCCTCCCTTCTATCTCTTCTCTGTCCATTGAGAAGGCAAACAATGTGATATCAATTATACACACAATTATGCAAAACATATTTCCATATTAGCCACGTTGGCAAAAAAAAATGAGCAAGAAACAAAGAAAGTGAAAAGGCTCGGCTTCAACATGCACTCGGAGGCCAACAGTTCCCTCTCTGGAGGTGGGTCGCATTTTTCAATCATGTTCCATTTGTGGGCCCTTCAGAATTGTCGCTGGTCACTGCACTGCTGAGAAGAGTTAAGTCACTCACAGCTGATCACGGCACAACACTGCTCTTACTCTGTACGATGATCTCCTGGTTCTGCTCCCTTCGCTTTGCGTCAGTTCATGGAAGTCCTCCCAGGTTCCTCTGAAGCCATACCTCTCTTCAGTTTTCATAGCCAAATGGTATCCCATCACAATCATATACTACGCCTGGTCAGCCACTCCCCAAACTCAGCTTCCAGCTCTTTGTCACCAACAAAAAGAGCTGCTACACATGTTTCTGTAGAGAGAGATCCTTTCTCTTTGCTCTATTTGGGATACAGATCTGGTATCGCTGGGTCAAAACGTCATAGCCCTTCGGCAATAGTTTCAAATTGTTCTCCGGAATGGCTGGACCAGCTTCCAACTGCACAAGGTGGGCCTTTAGCTGGGGTCTGGAGGCCAGAGAAACCCGGAGGTGGAGAAGAGGAAGGAGGGCACCCCACGCATGAGGAGCAGCAAGGAAGCCCATTTCACTGGACTGCAGAGTACAAGAAAGAGACAGAGACGGAGAGAGAGGGGCAAAATGCCTGGAAAGATAGGGAGATACCCTAGGGCAGCAGGAGACCCAGCACAGGAGGGCGGTGACCCGGCAGGCCAGGCCTCCTGGAAGCCCCACCCCTTCCCCATGCCTGGATCATCCTGGCTGAACGTCCAGCTGCCCCTTGATGTCCCCCTATTCCCTGCCCCTGCTCCCCTCCCCTCCAGCTGATCCTGTCTATCTGAGTTGGTCTCCATCAGTTACCTGCTGTGGTACCCAAGCACTTAGCACATAAGGAGGGCTTAATGCATGTCTTTTTATTCATTCATTTATACATACCAATAAATAAATACCAAGGAATTTCCAAAGGGAAACTAGAGAGGTCGGAAAGGCAGCCCCTGGCCCTACTCTGAACGAACTGAGGGATGCCTGAGGCACAGAAGCAGGGAAGCAGAGAGAGTTGAGCTGGAGATCTGAACCGAAGCTGAGACCAACATGTGACAGTGGGGGAGAGCCTTGAGGGGTCCACAGCCTTGGGAAGCTGAGGCAGAATGAGGACTGAGCCCCAGTGGCTTCAGCAGTTACATGATCACTGGTAACCCTGGAGAAGCCAGACTGCAAGGCTGCGAGGAGGAGGAGGGGAGGAAACGAAACAGAGCAGAGATGGCTCTTCACAGGAGGGACAGAGGAAGGCCAACAGCTTGAGGGGATGGCCGGATCAAGTGTGGGCTTTTAAA